CAGTGGAATTCACTGGTTATTGAGAATGGATTGTTAAAGCGCACATGGGAAAGTGCGGATGGCAGCACAGTAACAACTCAGTTACTGGTACCAAGGAAGAAAGTTACCCAGGTATTGGAAGAAATTCACGGTGGTAAAACTGGAGCCCATCTTGGGGTAAACAAGACCTTGAGCAAGCTGAGAGATCGCTTTTACTGGGTGGATTATTGCGAAGATGTCAAGAAATGGTGTCGACAATGTAAAATTTGTGCAGCCAGCCAAGGACCAAGCACTCGATCTAGGGGAAAAATGAAACAATATAACGTTGGACTGCCATTCGAAAGAATCGCTGTTGACATTGCAGGCCCATTCCCTGAAACGCACAAGGGCAACAAGTACGTTTTAGTGGCGATGGATTATTTCAGTAAATGGCCAGAAGTTTTTGCCATTCCAAACCAAGAAGCATCGACTGTAGCTGAAGTATAGTCAATAATGTCTTCAGTAGATTTGGAATTCCTTTAGAGCTTCACACTGACCAAGGAAGGAACTTCGAGTCAAGACTGTTCCAGAAGATGTGTGATCTGCTTGGTATTCACAAGACTAGGACAACAGCTTTACATCCGCAGTCTGATGGGATGGTCGAGAGATTCAATAAGACCATTGAAGAACATCTCTCGAAAATGGTGGATGAACATCAAAGAGATTGGGATCAGCATATACCACTATTCCTAATGGCATATAGAAGTGCAGTTCACAACACCACCGGACTTTCACCATCGAAGATTTTATTTGGTCGAGAATTACGGTTGCCTTGTGACTTGGTGTTCGGATCACCAGACGACAGCACCACGAACGTAGAGGACTACGCGGATGAACTGAAGGAAAGGTTATTGGGAATTCATAAGGCCGTGAGAAGTAAGATTACGCTAGCCAGTGACCGGATGAAAGCTCGTTACGACCTCAGAGCTAATTCTACGGGATTTCAACAGGACGATATGGTATGGTTATATAACCCACAGCGCAAGAAAGGGAGGTCCCCAAAGTTAACTCCAGCATGGGAAGGTCCTTATACAGTCATCAAGAGGATAAATGATGTTGTGTACCGGATTCAACGCAGCCCTAGAAGTAAGATGAAAGTAGTTCATCTGGATCGATTGAGAGATACCAGACAGGAAACCTTGATCGGGACGATCAAATTTGAGAAGGGGGCAATGTTAAGGTCAAGGTGTATTACTGGTTGCATAACCGCAACGTGCATTGAGGAACCTGGCGCATTCGCCAGAAAGTAAAGAAAATTATAGAATTCTTTAGAAAAATCTAGAAACAACCGCCAGGGGGTATATAAGGCCCGCACTTTGACAGTTGGACAAGTTTTAAAAGTTTGAAGTTTGAAGTTTGAAGTCTGAAGTCTGAAGAAAGTCTGAAGTCTGAAGTTTGAAAATACCGCGAAATACCGTTAGAGTAATAGTAGTTGCATAAGTTGTGTTGTAAATAGTATAAGTTGTGTGTACAGAGTGAAACAAATAAATTCGTTAAGTATTTTATCGTGAGTTTAAATAGTGGACCCACGGAATCCGTTGTTTGAATTTTTAGTGTCAAAATTTCACCCCTTCGATTGGCCGCCCCCGCTTTAAGCCCCGGGATCGCGCTGGCAGACGACTATTTCATAATGGCTACACAAAAGGATACTTCATACCAAAAATTAGCCATGTAATGATGATAAGGTTTTTTATGTAGCCAGTCTTAGACTACTAGCTAGGCCGTTGCTTTCTTGAAGACACTGTATTAAAATTAAGTAGGTATTTTAATTATTACTCTACATTATACCCTATCTAATATTTTTTACGACACGTTTTTTAGCGAGCTATTTTTCAACAAATAATGTAAAAAACTCTATTTTAAATACTGTATGTTTGTAGAAGATAATTTTATTTAAAAAGTTAATTAAATATATGATTATACTTTTTTGGATTATTCAGTCCAAAGCTCAAGTTACCAGATTCTATAATTCGTAGTATCAAATATCTTAGTCATTTAAACGAGTGTTTTTGGGTTTACATCTCAAGTTTATATCGAAATATATCATTTTGTTTGGGCCATATCAATACAAATATTGGATTACATAATATAATGGATATATAAAAATGCGTAAAGCAATTATTCAGAATAGATACGTTTATTTTGCGTATTATATTACTAAATGTTAAGAGGAGTAGTCAGAATGAAGAGGAAGTTAACCCTATATACAAGGTTAAAAAAACAGTGCACCAAACTTTCGTTTCGTGATATTATACCGGGTGTTGCATCGTCGAGCGTGACATAGGAAATCCCATGTAAATTTTAATGGGGTCAATTATTGACTTCCCTAATTATTTTAGAGAATAATTCTATTTAAGTTTATTGAAGAGCACTAAAACCCACATTCAAAGGAATAACTTTAGATATTTTTGATTAGCCCGTTTACGAGTTATCGCCGATTTCTTTTTAAATATTTCTCCTTTCTTATGGCCCTGTATTTACTTATGAACACCAGTTAAGGTAAAAGATAACTGTCAAATGAAGTTGTCATTTCAGAAATTTATCTATTTAGTGCTTTATTATTATTATTAAAAACTCATACCTACATCAAAAATATTAGCCACGAATAACACTACCGAAGAAAAACTATTGATGATTAAATGGTATTATCAAGGAAATAGCTATCAAAAGGTGTCGGACATGTTTGCTGCTCGGTATCCGAATAGACCGATACCTGGAAAATCTACAATCGCAAGGAATATCCAGAGATTTGAGACCAAAGCTACCCTAATAAATAACTGCAGATGTGAAGCAAGTCAGGAACAAAGAGAAGATAGATTTTGCAAAAAATTATACCGACTTGGAAGTTTTATTGTGCGTGGAAGAGAACGATGGAAAGATCAGCACAAGGAAGCTTGAGGATGAAATAGCAATAGATCACACTACAGCGTTTCGAATTTTGAAACGACATAAATACTATTCCTTCAAATATGAAAAGCACCAAGAACTACGAGATGGGGACGAAATACAGCGGCAGGCGTTTTGTTTTGATATGATGGAAAGAGCAAACACGGATAGGGAATTTTTAAAAAACATATATGTTTCACTGACGAATGCACGTTTATCTTAAATAATGAACCCAATGTTCAAAATTATCGATATTGAAACAAAGAAAACCAACACAGGTTTGTCGAAACAAGGATGCAATATCCACAGAAAGTAGGTAAATGTTTGTGCAGGGATATTCGGACACAATATTATCGGGCCATTATTTCTTACGCGAAATTTAAATGCAGAATATTATTTGGAACTACCCGAAAATCATATTTTACCTGCTTTACATGATACCGCTAGGGAAAATCAGGAAGTTTGGTACCAAATGGGTGGCTGCCCGGCACATAGTACCCTGGCTGTTCGGGAATATTTAGACAATAGTTTTAACGGAAACGTTATTGGCCTAAATCATACAGTAAATTGGCCAGCAAGGCCTCCTGATATTTCGCCAAATGATTTCTTTCTCTGAGCCCATTTAAAAAACAGGATATACAAGGATAAAAAATACCCAAATCTAGACGAGTTAAAAAATGATATTTCTGCCGAATGCAATAGAATTTTAGTTTACCAAGTAGCGAATGTAAAAAGAGAATTTTATGATCGCCTTGGTTATTGTCTAGCAGTCGATGGAGGAATATTTGAACATCTTCTTAAATCCTAAAGTTCTAACAATTTAATAGTACCTAAATTAATAAGTTATTGTAATAATAATATTGTAATAATACTATAATTAACCTTGTAATTGATTACTTTATTTTACTTTGATTACTTTATTTAATTTGTATTTATAAATACATCTTTAAGATTTCCGATGTAGGAATGAGTTTTCAATAATAATAAAGCACTAAATAGGTAAATTTCTGAATTGACAACTTCATTTGACAGTTATCTTTTACCTTGACTGGTGCTCATAAGTAAATACAGGGCCATAAGAAAGGAGAAATATTTAAAAAGAAATCGGCGATAATAAATCGTAAACGAGCTAATCAAAAATATCTAAAATTATTCTTTTGAATGTGGGTTTTAGTGAAACCCACTTCATGAACTTCAACTTCATGAAGATCTGTGCGTATGTTTTTCCATTTAATTACATGTATTGCGTACACACTAGGAAACTAGGATTCGTCTGTCCCAGATCTGATGTGTACACTCTTTTCCACGTCGGCGTCGCAACACGTGTGTTGACGTGAGCTCACGTGGGATAGCGTGGCGTGTGGCCTAATGAGGTCCCGGCGTTAGTCTTGCTTTTTGTGCGAGACCAAGACCAGTGTCGCTCATCACCATTCGTTACACCATAAATAAATATTATACAGGGTGTCCCACAATTAATGCGACAAACTGAAAGGGCTTGTAGAGGGCATCAAAACAAGTCATTTGAGTATAGGAACCCATGTGCGGTATTATCAAAATGAGCGGAAGGAACTTGACTGGACGTGCACTAAGGTAGCAACACGGACTGCACGCCCTACTATCAACAGCGAACAGACGTGTGCATTTGTGTCTTCAACAGAATGGACGGCACTTTGAGCAGTTTTTGTAAATGTTTTGAATAAATAATGCAACTTGAAATTTACGTTTCCCTCCACCCCCTGTCAAAATGGCACATTTCCGGACATGGGTTCTTATACTCAAATGACTTGTTTTGATGCCCTCTACTCCTTTCAGTTTGTCGCACTGATCTTGGGACACCCTGTACTGTGTTGTCATTGATATAATTGATTTGAAAAAAATCCATTTATAATGTAAATAATATTGACCTTTTTTATTGAGATTTAAAAAGAAGAAGTAATTTGTCAGTAATTTATATGATAGTAGATAATAGAGGGGGTATATTATTGTTTTTATTTTGAAGGAATTTTATCAAACTGTAAGAGATATGGTATAATAAGAGCTCTTGATTTCTGTGAATATAGTAAAATCTCTTTAAAATAATTTTTTTTTTATTTCAGGAACAACTTTAACAACACCTATCGAAACAAGAACCCCACTAAGCACAACTAGATCGATACAACTAAAATTAAGATATAAATCCTGTAAATAGTTAAGAATATATAAGAATACGAAAATGTTTATTAGAGTATTTGCCCAACGATCTCTAATACCATCCAGGACACATTTAAATCTAACTTTAGGATGTCGCCAGTACTCTATCGAATACAAACCAATCAGGAGCGTCCTGGTGGCCAACAGAGGAGAGATAGCGGTCAGGGTGTTTCGAGCTTGTAACGAATTGGGAATCAAGTCTGTAGCTATTTATTCCAAAGAGGACAGAGCCCACATACACAGACTGAAAGCAGACGAGTCTTATTTGGTAAGCAAATAGTTTATAAAAGGTTTAATATTTGTATTATATAGGGTGTCTCAGAAATATGTGCAAGTATTTTAACTGGTAGTACAGTTCAAACCACGCCTATGAGTTTTTTTCGCGAAAAAAAAAATTTTGTAAATTCGAAATTTTTTGATTTTTTTTTTTCAATTTCTGTTTAGTTTTTAGTTAAAAAACATAATTTCTTGATAATATGGCAACATGTAGAATGTAGAATGAGTAAGAGGGGGGGGGGAGTTAATCACTGCGGCCTTAAAGATCTATTGTGCCCCATGCCTTGAGTCATCACACAATCTATAACCCATCATACCCCTGTTGTAGAGGGGACAGGGTATTTCCCAATTTCCCATCCTCCTCTGACAACAGTTCTTCCTCCGAGGGTACACGTCCCTCCACGGTTGGACTTGTAGAGCCCTCCATGCCGCTCTTCACAGTCGAGGAGCTTGACTCCGGCTGAGGAACCCGTGAGGTGGAGGCTGGAGGATCTGTCTCCATTTTCTCCACCTCTTTAACTTGGTCTCTCCTTAGACCTGATACCGGTGTTGTCCCGTATCAATAATAGAGGATATGTCCCTCATTCTCTATTGCCTCCTTGGATTTGAGGTCAATTCCTATTGTGACGACCTGACCATGACCCTCCTCCCTCGAGTTGATGACTCGCAAACTCGATGTCCTTACATTAAAGTTCTGACCTTGGATAAGGCTCAGCAGGTAGGTGGTGTCATTCCCCTTGCTCCTCGGCAGAAAGACCGTTATAGCCGCCCCTTTAGGGATATTTTCTCCCTTCACTGCAACCAGTTCCGGCCCTTGCCAATTTTTAAGCTTAGGGCGATTTCCACCAACCAATTCGCCGATTCTTGAGATACACAATCTATGAGGATCATGCCCACCCGAAAGTGTATCCCCGCAAAACGCAGCTGACCCACATTTTGTACATCGTTGTGTTGCGATCCGATCGCCACTACTTCGTCCAGTATAGCCTCTTCTAGAGACGTTTGCTGGTCGGTGGTCAGAGCAACCTCTGAGAAATTCTTTTGCAGCACCGCCATTTTCACTTGTTCAGCAATAGCGACAAAGCTGGTGATACGTCCCTGCTTGCCTCGCGGTGTTGGACGGCTTTCCATCCTGGATTTTTCTCTCTCTGCCGGAGTAGAGAAGTTCTCGCTCTCTCTCTTGCCCTTTGATGGAGATTAGTCAGGTTGTTTCTTGGTTTCTTTACTCTCCCCTTTTCGGAGGAGTGTTTTCGCTTTTGCTTCCTCTGGAGCGAGTCCTTCGTGGAGCAGTCGGAGGTATCTCCGTGCTTCTGCTCCGCTAAGACCTACTCTAAGAGGATCGTCTAGTCCGCCTGGTTGACCCAGGCCGGGTAAGCGAAACGGTAGCTTATGTCGCTTATTGGGTCTAGAGGTAGGCTCCCGACCCTTGCTGGAGAAGGTGGTGCCACTTGTGGAGGATGATCCCAAGCAAGTGTCAGCTGCCCCTCCTGTAGTTTCCTTTGGATTTGGTCCCTTGGAACTTTCATTTGTAATGTTCCTAGTGTCGCTAGGGGGCTTCTCACAGCGTCACCGGTGATGTTTTTAATACTAGCTTCTAAATTACTTTGCTTCGGAATTGTTATTCTGAGAAGTCTCTTCCTATAGTAAATACTAGAAGGACTGTCTTACAAAAAGAACATGGAGTGGGGGTGGTTTTCACCCTTCCCGTAATTTTTCTTAATTCTTGCGAATGTCATGAGTTTGATGCCCTCTAGCGGACAAACGAAGCACTTTTGCATAGTGGTAAATTCTGTTCAATGGCCTTATTTTGATTCCAAAATACACAGTAGTTCTATGTCCACGGAATATTGGGACATCCTGTATATAAATTATATCAAGGTAACATTTGTATATTTATCAATCCAAGTATTGAAATTTTTACAATATAGTGACTACTTATAAAATATACCGATACTGGCGTCATCAGTGGACAACCGGAAGCTTGATTGCACCCAATCATGAGTGAAAAAAAATCCTATACGGGTATTTCGCCACTGCAAGAAAATCTACAAAATAAAATAGTTATTTTTTGTAAACACTGCTGCGTTAATCCAAATGGAAACTACTTGTCAGAAGTTAGGTTTACAGATATACAAATTTACCTAACGAACAAAAAAATGCTTAACGTTTCGGAAAGTTTATCTCTTTCCGTCGTCGGAAGCAAAAAATACAAAGAATAAAAAAACTATTTAAAATATTTAAATTCAACTATTCCAGAACACTTTAGTTTTTTTTTAAACAGATACGTCTACAAAAACCGTTGACGTTCTGTTAAAATGTTTGAATTAACGCAGAAGTGTTTACAAAAAAATAACTATCTTATTTTGTAGATTTTCTTGCAGTGGCGAAATACCCATATAGGATTTTTTGGAGTGATGAATCCGCCACATAGGTATAGACATTTCTGACTGAAGTATTGTGTAATTATTTTATGTTGTTCAATATTCTTTTAGTGCCATATCAGTTGGGCATAACACAACAAAACTGAAAACAAAATATATTCAAAGCTAAATAAAGATAAATTTACGACCTGTCTAGAGAAATATTCTAAAAATAACAAGCGTTTAAACTTACAGGTAGGTGAAGGTCTTCCACCAGTAGCAGCATATTTAAATATACCTGAAATCATCAAAATATGCAAAGATCACGGAATAGACGCTGTCCATCCTGGATATGGATTCCTTTCGGAGAGATCAGACTTCGCTCAGGCAGTAATCGATGCTGGATTGACATTTATTGGTAATATACATAGTACCACAGTCTATTCATTAGACAGCCAGTCGATTTTAGTAATTTTTGGGTACCCGCGCTTCACCTGTCGTGCCTGTCCTCGTACAGATGCAGGCAACTTGACAACAAGTGATCGCAAGTAGACTGGCTGTCCAATGAATAAGCTGTATTATACAGAGTGTATCACTTAGACTCTCGGCTGTATCTCGGAAAGTATTAGTCGTAGGGCTTGCGGAAAAAAATATGGCTAAAGAGACCATGAGAAATTGCTGGAAATTATTTTAAAGTTTGTAGAACGGCCGCTAGAGGGTACAACTGCTTTTGAAAATAAGAAAATGGAATTTTTAGGTAGTTTTGCCTAGTTGAGGTGTACTATAAATAAAAGCTTTAAAATCTTCAGTAAATTTTGGATCTTTTTTGTTAGAACCACTTTCGTCTTTTCGTTTTTAAATAAAGTGGTGGGGGAAGGTAAGATCTGTTATTATTTAAATGTAAATAATTCCGGACGGGATGATCGGAATTCAACAAATGAGAGCTTGTTTAAAAAGGCGTTTCTTACTCTATATTAGACCACATAAACAATAAAAATAAGCTTTTGACCGTAGACGCTAGGGGGCGCTGTCTTACAACTTAACAAACATTACGCGTTTCTTCAAACAAATTAAATGCCATAGTATATCTAATTTTAGCTGATACTAAAGAGTAATAAAATCTTAGAGTCAGCGAAAACCGCATCTTTTTTCAAACCAAAGTTTTTAGTAAAATTATAATAAATACGAAAATATAAGCTCTTAATTACCTTATTTTTCTAATACGGTATCACTAGCCCTCTTGATTATAACCATTTTAATAAAAAACAAGATAAAAACATATTATTTCATTCAAAAAATCGACAATGTACAGCTGGTTCCAATAAAATTGAATACGATTTAAAACATATTTTTATTATTTCGAGCAGTATATTCTATGATACCAGTCCCTCATTTCTCTACTCATGTCATGCTGACATTCTTTTTTCTTTCATATTCGAAAAAAATGTGTAAAGAGTCGTATTCATTTTTTTTGGAACCAGCTGTACCAGAATACCATAATACAAAATATATTAATATCTAATAATTAAGATATCAATGACCGTGAACTAGAAACGACGCCTCAGTGAATTCATGGTAGGCTTTGGAAAAAAGTTGCTTTTAAAGGGATAGTTTAAACATCAAAATATTATTATATCAACATTTTGATAGTTTTAGCAGCGTTTTAATGCGTAAATGCTTTTCTAAAAATGCCTTTCTTGAAAAAACGTTGCTAAGACCATCAGAATGTTGATCTAATAACACTTTGATGTTTTACTATTACGTCAAAAGCAACTTTTTTCCAAAGCCTACCATGACTTCACTGAGGCGTCGTTTCTGATTCACTGTCATTGATATCTTAATTAATAGATATTAATACGTCTGGTATTTATGGTATTCTGGTATATTGTCGATTTTAGAATAAACTAATCGTGTATATCTTATTTTTATTAGAATTTTCGTAATCAAGGGGGCTACTGTAACCGTGTTATAAAAATAAGGCACTTCAGGGCTTATTTTTTGGTATTTATTATAATTTTGCTAATAACTTTGGTTTGAACAAAGATATCAAGATGCGGTTTTCGCTGACTTTTTAAGCTTTTATTACTCTTTACCATCAGCTAAAATTACGTATACTAACGTATTTATTTTTTTTTGAAAAAACGCGCAATGTTTGTTAAATTGCAAGTCCGCGCCCTCTAGCGTCTACATTTAAAAGCTTATTATTATTGTTTATACGAATTACACGGTATGATATAGAGTAAGAAACACTCTTTTAAGTTTATCCAGTCTGGAGTTATTAATATTTAAATAAAAATAGATCTAACCTTCTCCCACCACTTTATTTTAGCAGATAGGGGAAAATGGTTCTAACAAAAAATATTCAAAACTTACTAAAGATTATGAAGCTATTATTTATAGTACGAGTTATCTCGGCAAAATTGTGTAAAAACTCCATTTTCTTATTTTTTTATAGCAGTTGCGCCCCCTAGCGGCCGTTCTACAAACTTCAAAATAATTTCCAGCAATTTCTCATAGCATCTTTATATTTCAGATACAGCCGAGAGCTATTCTTAGTGGGACACCCTGTACATAGTACTTTTGATCTCTAATTATTTACATATTTTAGTAACTAAACTATATCATTTTAAGGTCCTCATCCAAATGTTGTGCAACAGATGGGTGACAAAGTGGCAGCTAGAGAGGCTGCTATTGCAGCCGGTGTTCCTATAGTTCCTGGTACTGACGGTCCCGTCAGTACAAAAGAAGAAGCTGTCGAATTTTGTGCCAAACATGGTTTACCTGTAATATTTAAGGTACTTTCTATAATTTTTAAAGTTTAGAAATCTAATCCTTCCAACTAATACATTTTTTTTCACAGGCTGCCTATGGAGGTGGTGGCAGAGGCATGAGGGTGGTAAGAAAAATGGAAGAAGTGGAAGAAAATTTCCAGAGGGCTCACTCAGAAGCTGAGAGTGCTTTTGGAAATGGAGCTTTGTTTATAGAGAAGTTTATTGAGCGACCTAGACACATTGAAGTACAATTACTTGGTAAATACGTTATTTAAAGTTTATGAAATTGAATTGTTTTGGTTGTAGAATGTCTCTGAATTAACTAATTTACTAATGCTTGAGATATAATCATTAATAGAAATATCATTCAAGTTGATTAGTAATAATAAATAACACTTATCCACAAATATGAAGGGTTTAAGATGATATTTTATCTACTAGTTGGATAAAAAAAAACTTTATTCCACTCTTAGTGAAATACTGAAATTAAAAATACGACATTTTTATTTTATTTATTAAGATTAAATAAATACCAAATAAACTTTTAGTCACGTGATTAAGCTTCTTTTAATCATTTTTTTATTTTACAAAAATAAATTAATTATAAATATATAAACAGTTATTTTTACATCAACAAAACTCACCTTCTTAACAACACTTAAGGGTCATAAAGGGCTATTATTACCGCTTTTTTTTATTACCATTATTATCTTCTTTCAAAGGTGCCCGGTGGCGTAGAGGTACAGGCTCTCGTCTACCAATCTCAAGGTAGTGGGTTCGAATCCTACACCCGGCATTTCATCAGCCTACTATTTTTATTAAAATAAAAATAGTTTGGGTACCTAGCTCGACTCAGCCTTAAATGAGTACTTGGGATTCACAATCCTGAGGTAATAATAGGCGGTTGAAGCGTAGTGCTAGCCACATTACCTTCCTTGTATACCGAACGGCTCTAGCATGGCAAGCTGTACCTTGCTACTCCCAAGGCGTTAAACGCTATATACGGAAGCAATTATTATATTATATCTTCTTTCATTTTCTGTGGTTTTTAAAAACCTTTGCCAATTCTTATGATACAAGCTCCGAATTTTACTTCTGTCAAACTTTCGTTTCTGTCAGTACTAAACAACACAGATTAGTTATAACTAAACAACACAGTTATCACAGATGCCATAATAATAAACAGTATCTTAAATTTTTATCAATTTTTTATAATTTGTGTTTTAGTATGCATTTTATCACTTCAGAAAATTAAACATTCTTGTCTAGGTAAAATACTCCCAAAACACTTATACAATAAATAATTATTATCCTGATAAACTAAAGAGCTCATAGTAATGTCGGTATTTATTTGACTATTATATTTAACTTGATGGTATTTTCAGGTGATAAAGCTGGAAACGTGGTCCATTTATACGAAAGAGACTGTTCCGTGCAACGTAGACATCAAAAAGTCGTGGAAATGGCACCCGCTCCACATCTCGATCTTAAAATTAGAGACGCCATGACATCTATGGCTGTAAAATTGGCCAAACACGTCGGATACGAGAATGCCGGTACGGTGGAATTCTTGTGCGATGCTAGTGGCAATTTCTACTTTATAGAAGTTAACGCCAGATTGCAGGTAAGTGTCTCTATAGAGATTAAATGAGGAGCAGACTTATTAAATGCATTTTGTCCATTTTTTTAAGATTTTCAATTAAAGGTGGCATTGCAAACTACATATACACATAGTTACAATATGATGCCAGAAACGACTTGTTAAATACATTTTTTTCCATAGCAACTGTTAAAATTGCCTTATATCTATCAAAAATAGTAGATAAGATAGTACTTTAACCGCAAGGGTAGATTAAATGATACTTTGACAGCGAGGATAGGTTAAAAATTTTATTTCTTCTCGCACGTTTCTTAATTGCTTCCATTTTTGAAAATTTTTGTATTTCTTTTTATATAAGTTGTTCGGGGTTTAAATGGAAGTAGTTTGAATATGGCGTTTGTCGCCTCAGCCTGAATATCTGTTGATAATTTACTTATTCCGTTTTGAGCCATTTCTGGCTCCAATTCACTCCAATTCAATCAGTAATCGACACGAAGGAGAATTAAAAAAATATTCACTCAAAACTGACAACTAAAGAGACAGCTTTATTTATTTGTCAAATTACATAGAAACGAACGCCAATCCAGCACAATATTTTTTCTACTCGTAATAAATTCCTTAAAATAATAATTTTTGAATATTTTTTAAAACGTAACTCGCCATGGAAAAAAATATTGTTTTATACACGACGATAAAATTGCATTATCGTGTCCCGAAATTAATTCACTCGCGGTTTCATCGCTCGTGAATTAATCTTTTCGGTCGACGATAAAATACCATTTTATCGTCTTGTATAAAAAATAACTATTATTCCATTCGAATTAAATGGCGAAAATGCCTTAGTAGTTCAGTCATTGGGGATCAAAAAAGGAGCCTGCTTGGAAAAAAGTCCGGAAGTTTTGAAACTTTGCAGGTTTATAGGTTTTGGGGTCCCTAATTAAATCCATAAAATGCACATTTCCAGACTTGCCGCCGGCGCCGCCATCTTGCCAAGATGGCGCCCAAAATTGGTATTTTGTAAATATCTCGAAAAATATGCGTTTTTCGCAAAAATTTGAAGAGAGCAAAATTGAGTTACAACGTTGAAAGATCCAGCTCCAAAATCCCTATTGGCATTTTTATCCTGTAAATGCAAAACCAACAACTGTGGTAAAGCCTGCGGATGCAGAAAAGCAGGATTAAAATGTTCAATGATTTGTGCATACTGCAATGGGAAATTCTGTGACAACGTCACTGAAGTGTCACTCCACGAATCCGATGAAGAGGAGTTGGACTTGCCTGTAGATATCCCTCTGGCGGCTGAAGATGAAGAGTTCGACGTATTGAGAGACCACCCTGATGAGCCCAGCGCAGCAGACACGATCGACTTTGACCTCAATGAGTGCAGCCTAAATTGAGCACGATTTTGTGCCTAAACGGTTGACTTTTGATGAATGAAATTTTCATAAAACCTTTTTTATAGGAAATTTTATTCTCTTTAATTTTGTTCTCATCAAATTTTCGAGAAAAACGCATAGTTTTCGAGATATTCACAAAATACCGATTTTGGGCGCCATCTTGGCAAGATGGCGGCGCCGGCGGCAAGTCTGGAAATGTGCATTTTATGGATTTTAGTTAGGGACCGCAAAACCTATAAACTTGCAAAGTTGCAAAACTTCCGGACCTTTTTCCAAGCAAAAATCCCCAATGACTGAACTATTAGTGCCTATGTGCTTGGTTAGGTTGTTTATATGTCCATTAGCGGCAAACAAATAAACAGAAGTATACTGCTGTTTGTTTGTAATTGCCAGATGAAGTTTTTTTGGTATTATAATTACTCTATTTTTTGAATAATACGTTGTTGGGATACGGACCGTGGTAGCAGAAAAATAAAGCAAAATTTCACGTCTAAAGGACAGTCAACAGTTTTTTTCAATTTTTTCAGATATCATTAAAACTAGATTTTTCATATGCAGGTGTACTATTTTTATGACTTTTTATACATTTTTCAAGTATACTAGTTTTTTGTAAAAAGCGTGGCAGTTTTTTTTGTTTGTCAAAATTCGAAAAAATGCATCTAGAATGTCTGCTTTGTTTGTGCAAAGCTAATATTTTTAAACGCTAAGTGATGTAAATCAATAGATCTGGCCATGTCTTATTGTGACACTTTGTTCAAAAAACAGTATGTTATCGATCATCATTTCCAAGCCAACTTTGCGCTGTTTTTTTTCGATTATACGCTATATTATTAATAATATCAACTATTAGATATCAACTCTTAAGCAGCAGTATTTATAATATAGGAAATTCCGAGGGAAATTCAAATAATTATATGGTACCCGGTGGCGTAGAGGTACAGGCTCTCGTCTACCAATCTCAAGGTAGTGGGTTCGAATCCTACACCTGGAATTTCATCAGCCGACTATTTTTATAAAAATAAGTTTAGGTACCTAGATCGACTTAAATGAGTACTTGGGATTCACAATCCTCAGGTAATAATAGGCGGTTGAAGCGTAGAGTGCTAGCCACATTACCTTCTTTGTATATCGAACGGCTCTAGCATGGCAAGCTGTACCTTGCTACTCCCAAGGCGTCAAACGCTATATACGGGATCTATTAAATTCAAATAATTCATTTTCTGAGAGATGAAAATAAATTGTCTGACTGTTTGACTCTGACTGATGTCAAAGGAAGCTAGATAAAATCAAGAAAAATATACACGTTTTGAAATTAAATCTTAAATAACTTAAAAACGATTTATTCAGAATAAATAAGTATACAGGGTGGAATACATAATATACAGGGTGGTCCGAACTGTATTCCGGAAACTTCGGCAGCATATTTTGCAGATAAAAATAAGTAAAAAAGTTCGTATAAATGTATGTCCTAAAATGCTTAGTTTCGGAGATACAGGATGTAGAAATTTCATTTTTATTTCCATTTTTTCCAAATAATTTCTGAAGTAAAGTCAATATTTGAATGAAAATTGGTGTCTGGAAGTTTAACATGAGAAATTTGATTTTGATGTCAATATGGTTCCTACTAGAAGAGGGCGCCACCTACATATTTTTTAACCGGTTTGAAGAGTAATAACTTTTTGTCCGCACCTGTATAAAACTATTGAGCAAAAAAAATACATTTACGACGTTTTTTACGTAAAAAAGGTCTCTTGGTAAAAATCGCTGCGAGTGATGGTTTTCGAGATATTTTGAATCAAAATTATTAATACCGGTCATCATTGACATTAATTAAACATGTTGACCAAATAGTTATTAAACTGAAATCATAAATTTGAAATAGTTTTGTGCCAAAAGTTCAGCAGAAACTGTTTTATCATCATTTTTTGCAGAAAAATTTATGATTAATTTAAAAAAATAAAAATTTTCAAATTTATTATTTCAGTGAAATAACTATCTACTCAACGTGTTTATTTTTCGTCAATAATGACATGTATTGACTATTTCCATACTAAATATCTTAATAACGGTTGCTTGTAGCGATTTTTACAAAGAGATATTTTTTACGTAAAAAGTTACAGAGATGTATATTTTTTCATTCGCTAGTTTTACACAGGTACGGACAAAAAGTTATTAAGCTTCAAAGCAGTTAAAACACATGTAGGTGGCGCCCTCTACTAGTAGGAGTCATATTGACATCAAAATCAAATTTATCATGTCAAAAATCTCCCAGACACCAATTTTCATCCAAATATTGACGTTACTTCAGAAATTATTTAGAAAAAAACGAAATAAAAATGAAATTTCTACACCCTGTATCTCTGAAACTAAGCTTTTTAGGACCTACATTTATACGAACTTTTTTATTTATTTTTAACTCCAGAATATGCTGCCCAAGTTTCCGGAATACAATTCGGACCACCCTGTATACTGAAAAAGTAACGAATTGGAAAACCTTCTCACTAGCGAGATAAAAAAGTAGGTTTCCATTTGAAAAAAAAAATGATTTATGATAATTTTTTAACCGCTCAATTTGAAGTTTCTGTCAACTTTCTTATTTTAAATGTGTGTTTAACGGTAGTTCCGGAAGAGCCGCCATATTGAAAATATTTTTAATCGATAGATCTTGTTGTAAAACAACGATGTGTAAAAAATCTCCGTTCTAGATATTGTGGTGCACGCTCAGCCTAGAACATACTGTATAACCAGTGTTAATTTTTGAAATGTTTCATGTCACTTTTTATTAAACGACGACTAGAGATTGACCTCGCCAAAATTATCATTTAGTTTCGGAGATACAGCAAAAATGGGATCGTTTTAATAAAATTTTATTTTTCGCACAGCAATTGTTGGAGAAACGGGCTTCTAAATATTTTTATACGTATTATGGGGTAAATTCATTTACAAAGTTAGATTTAATAGAACATTTTAGTTTTAGAGATACAGCAAAAACTGGATCATTTTAAAAAGACATCTTTCTTTTGTTATTTGTAGGGTACGAATATATTTTTAATCGTATAATTGCTTTTATAGGTAGAACATACAGTAACAGAAGAAATTACTGGAGTAGATCTAGTCCAAAGCCAAATTAGGGTTGCGGAGGGCATTACACTACCCGAATTAGGCATCACTCAAGAAAAAATTCAACCAAGTGTAAGTTTTGGTATAGTATTTCCACAGTCACTTGGAATGGTGCCATTTACGGCATCGTCTTGATATACAACTTAATAAACCCAAAAGGGACCAAGTGACTTCGGAGATATATTTTTAAAGCTTGATCTAAGTTTAACTAGCCATAGTTTACAGGGCTTCGCTATCCAATGTCGTGTGACCACCGAGGACCCCGCGAAGAATTTCCAACCGGACACCGGTAGGATTGAAGTGTTCAGATCTGGAGAGGGTATGGGTATTCGTTTGGACGGTGCATCTGGATTTACAGGAGCTATAATCTCTCCTTATTATGATTCGCTCTTGGTGAAAGTTATTGCTCATTCTAAAGATCTGCCGTCGGCGTGTGCCAAGATGGAAAGGTACGAGAAAATTTGTTTTTATTTATCAATGATTATTATGCTTGAATAATTATAATAGAATCGTTATTATGATAACTACAGTCTGTCTAATGAGCAAATTCATTACACTAATAGATTGTGCCTAAAATCCATTACACTAATAATTATTATAATTAATTATTTCTAAAACAGTTTTTAAATTTTTGAAGGTGACACACGGCCTTGAATAACGGCTGCGAGACGCATGAGAAATGGCCGTGACGCGTGAGCTAGCGAGGGGAAAAGTGATAACAGTGTTGCCACAGCTACCCCATTCGGAGTAGATCTACCCCTTTGTAAAACAATTGAACCCCGCTATCTTGTGATAATCTACTCCGATGAAAAATAAGCTTGTGGCAACACTGGGTAACGATCTGTGCCATACGCGAATAAGAAAATCACTATAATAAACTTACCAGCCTTGATTTCGTGCATATTTTCATCGATAGGTTTGTAGCTTCAAAATAACGGTCTAGGCACAGCATCTAGCTGACTTGCTAGCGCAGAATTAGAATTTAGAGTTAGTAATTCGCACTTTCATAGAAGGACACTGTCATATTTATTTCAAACCAATAATCATAGATAAATGAAACAAGTTTAGATTGGAAAGTGCCCATAAGGACAATTTAAACACTATTTGGCGCTATTCATGCAACGGTCGCGACCCAAAACTTTTGAAAATTTCGGAGCGGTTCGGCTTTTTCCGGAATTATATCGCCAAATATTGTTTATTCAAACTTATTATTATTTTCGTTATATATTATAAATAAAATACAGTGTGTTGCATACAAGAAACTTTATTTTATATAAGGACGCATGTATGAAATACCTATGAAACATTGGAAACCGACGTTATGCCACGATCCACGATGGTTTTTGCAGTTCACAGTTCACAGCACAGCTTTTTAAGTTTTTAATGCCACTTTTTCACAATTATCACCGGTTGGAGTAAATAAAACTTGAATTAAACTCACAAAGTAGCAATAATTACTTTGAAAATGGACGCTATAAACACTTTTCAGAATTTCTTTAATGAGAGCGGTTTAGATTTTGAACATATATTATGATTTTTGAAGATTCTGACTTTGACAAAAGAAAATTATTTCTGTTTTTGTTTGCCGTTGTTCTTAGCGACCGTTATAGCAGCGCCAGATCGCGTATAACGGTCGCGACCCAAAATAATTTTGCGACCTAAAATTTTTACGGGCTTTCCAATCTAAACTTGTTGCATTTATCTATGCCAATAATCAACGAGAATATTCGTATAGTTTAATAAAATTACTGTAAATCACTATAAGTAATGAATTGTTTGTAATTGAGCTGTAATTTCTTTATTATTAATTCGGTAAATGATGGAGATAAACAAATGTGATTGATTAAAATTTTATTTTAAGATGAAACTTTTATTAACAACATTCTTAGAATTTGAATAATGAATTGAATAATGACAAGACAAGTGACAGCTGTCTAAAAAGACAGCGATTTAGAGTGACAATTTGATAATGTAAAATTTAGAGTGACAATTGTAATTATGCAAAAGAATACATATTCTATGAGTTTACTGGTTGCCTAACGATTAAGATTAATTTAAAAGTAAATCCCCAACATGAAAAATGAACAAGTCATTTAAACAAAAACAGACCACAGACTACACAAAACAAATTGTTGGTTAGTAGTAGTTAACAGTAGTGAGAGATATAGATGATAGATGTAGTAGTATTTTGGTTTAATGGTCACAGCTATCCAGCCGGGTAAATAGAATAGAAATGTTCACAAAAAAATTAAAACGTGCCTACTTCTCATAAAATCATTCATTATGACATTAAAACTCAGTATGCAAAGTTTCATAACATTCCGTAAAAGGATTATGCCTCAAAAATCCGTGCGAAATTATCGTAATCCTTTGAATCCGCTAAACGCGGCCTGACGTCACTGCTTCGATCGGTATTTCGGCGCGAGTAAACGGTGCTGGAATTTCTAACAGAACAAGCTAGAATACGACATATCGCGTTGTGCTCGGATGTAGTTTGTATATTAAATTTGGTTTATTGTGATTAATATTTAGAGTTTATTACTAGTTTAAAAAAAGCTACTTAGTGAGATGGAGGACGGGTTTACTTGAAAGCGATAACAAACAACACTTGGTTTTTAACAATACAAAATTATTGAGTTTTTGAGCTATCAAAGCCTCTTATTTAGGAGGGGGCCAAATTTTAAATTTTAATTATTATATTAAACTGAAAATTTGCATGCGTATATAGAAGCTAAGACAATGTAAGATTATCGTATTGTTGATCTGATACAGGGCAGTATTAAGGAGAAGGAGCCAAATCTTAAATTTTAGTTGTATTTACCTGAAAATTCGCACACATATACAGGGTGTCCTGTTTAAAAATGAGGTACCTACATGGGGAATAATTGGGATCTTGAAGACCGTTAAAGTTACAAGATCGGTTAAATAGAAGAAAAGTTGCGTTTTTTTAGTCCAAAAATAATCTAGGTGTATTTTATTTAATATTCATATAACGTTACGTAAATACAGGGAGAAAAAGAAAAATGTGCATTTTCTAAACACCACGACCATATTTTCTTTATTATTGGAGCTAAGGTCATGAAAATTTTAATATCGGGGTACGGCAATATGGAAATTTTAAAAATTATGTCCAAAAAAGTTTAGGCGTACTACGTTGCGCATGGCCGAAGTGAGCTTTTGCTTTTCCTATGGGCGCCATATTGAAATACATGGTTGAAAACATTTTTAATAAGGATTTTTAAAATGCCAAATTTAAATATAGCGCTCATAAGAAAAATAAAAGCTGACGTCGGCCGGCCATGCGCGACATAGAAGGCCTAGGTTTTTTTTATATCATTTTTAAAATTGCCATGTTGCCTTGCCCATATATTGAAATTTTGATTACCTTAGCTCCAATAATAAAGAAAATATGGTGGTTTTTCGAAAATGTTCATTGTTTTTCACCTTGTATCTACATAACGGCATGGATTTAAAATAAAATATACATGGATTATTTTTGAGCACTCAAATACGCAACTTTGCTTCCATTTAACCGACTTTGTATCTTCAACGGTTTCCAAGATCCCCATGTACCTTATTTTAAATTAGACACCCTATAGGACGTATATTAAGCGAAAAATTTACAAGTGGAAAAATTGATAAAAACTTTTTAAAAACAAGCTTAAAATTAAATGCACTTAAAAGTAAAAAATAAGAATTGAAAGCAAGGGGCGCAAAGTAACGATTTAAAGTTCCGTGGATTATTTTTTGAAGTATTAACAGGGACAAAACCACAACACACCACTTATTTGAACTCATTTTACTTCTTCGGAACACCAAACCAATGAAAATAAACAATACACCTTCGCGAACGTCTGCAAAAACAATGCGGCAAGTGCACGATCGTACGGACGCCATCGATCGATCAAAGCAGTGACGTCAAAAACAGGTAGTCTCGAGTCGGGTACGTTTTCTAGCCTTGCTGCATTTCTCAATTTTGTTTTGCGTTTATGTGAGAAAATTATAGTTTTAAAGAAAAATTTTGAATGCCATACTTTTTTACTCATATGTAGCTATCGAAATTCATTGAAATTAGAAATTAATGAACATGTCTATTATCGTTTTTAATAAAAATAAAAAAAAAACACATTATAAAATTATAAAGGTAGAATAGTATACGGTTTTATATTAACTCTAATTTTTTTGAAGTTTATAAAAAGCATTCATAAAAAATATATATCCTTCAAATCCTTCAATTTAATAGCTGTTAGTAGGAACTTTCACATAGTGCACACACATTTTTTTTTATTAATAAAGAAATAAGTTGATACAATTGTAATACAAAGCGGGTATTCCTTTATGTAGTAGATAAAGGACTACCGCACGTACATTATACAGACTATAGTCCTTTCCTGTTCTAGTAAAATCAGATTACCTGATGCTCTTCAGATATTATTGATATTGTTTAATCCTTTCAAGAAATGTCGTATCGACAATTATTTTATAAACTTTCTTAACAATATAGTTTTTTTTTTCTAAAGAGCTTTACGTGAATTTCGTGTGCGAGGTGTCAAAACAAACATTCCATTCCTGGTCAACGTGCTGGGAAACCAAAAATTCATCAACGGCTCCGTGGACACGTACTTTATCGATGAAAATCCTCAGCTATTCAAATTTACACCGACCAGAAACAGAGCCCAGAAACTTCTTAACTATCTAGCCACAGTTTTAGTTAATGGAGCTCAAACACCACTTGGAACGTCACTGAAACCTGCCAGCGTGAAACCTCACGTTCCCGATGTTTCATTGGGTAAGTAACACTTTTCATTTCTTTATGAGGTCTTGAAATACTGTTTATCAAGCTTTAAAATTCAAAATTTAACCATTTATAATCAAAGATCTTTGAGACGTTCATTTCAAAATTCATTTTGGCATATTTTTTCGTAATTGTTTTTTTCCATTTTTTTGTGTGAGACGTAGAATTCAAATATTTATATAGTAAATTGTAGTATAGTTGCTTTTTTTTAAATAAACTATAATAAATTTATTTACTGTAAAACGTACGTTTAATTATTAGCTTTTAGCAGTTGAAGCTTATAAGGTAGTTATTTTGTGTTTTTTTTTCATAAACGTCTATCGTACCATTGCCGTGAATCACCCTATATAGGCTTGGTGTATATTTCGCCGGTGCTGCCACCACTGGAGAACTCGTAAATAGCGAATATATACAAACACACGGGTTTAAATGGCGAGTAAACGAAAAAATTAGTATAATATAATTATTCTAAAAGTGTTAGAAAGTGTAATTTATGGAAATTCTAAAGAAAAAAATAAAAAGGTCTAACTTGCATTATAATTTATTATTCCAGTTAAAAAAAAATAGATGTGTTTAACTACGGTAGTTTTATCACCGGTTTTGCTAGTGGGGCATAATTGGAACTATTTCGACTATAACGACATTTTTTAAAGGTACATAATTATAATTTTAGAAGATGTTCATAAAACATTTAATCACTAGTTGATTAAAAAAGTATACCATTAATATTGCAAATTATATTTCATCCTCTCATAGTATATGGCTATTTAATTTTTTGATTATGTTACGAGCACTTTGTTTACTCACTTGTCTCGTCGAACTGCTTGAATCCATTTTTGATTTTGATCAAATCGGTGTGAGAAATTATGAAGCTATAAAATGTTGTTTCGTTAGAGTTGAATATCTGGGAAAGTTGAGTTATTGAATGTTATTGCACCCAACAACGCCCTAATTACGCTCTCATCATACGCATCATACGCGTTAACATTTTTTAGGCAATTTTATTAACATATGAAATTGTCACAACACAAGACGCCTAGTTCGAATTATTTTTCACTTATTTTTTACTACCCAAAAAAGCGTTACATCATACAAACCTCGTACCTGAGTGTTTTATAGTCTCAGTAACTGCACTAGCAAAAAACTAAAATACTTAAATATAATGACAAAACCCCGATTTCAATAGGTTTGTTCCAACCAGCATTTCGGGATCGTTCCGAAATCGTGCTCGAATCGGTTTTCTTGCACTTTGTTAGCATGCGCGGACTTCAAATAGTTTCGTGACGGTGCAAAAAGTATCAACGTTGGAACGCATTTGCTGTCCTCCTTTCACGCAGTTGAGCAGCTCTGAACTGTTCAAGAACGCGATACTCTCACTCCATTCAATTGAGTCATAAAGTTCCAGAACTGTTCCGCGCCATATGGAGGCACGAGGCTATCGCGCACAGCTCCTTTCAGAACCGTTCTCGAGTAGCCCTAGGGCGTAAAGCCCGGAACTCGAAGTTCGCGAATGGAGGAGAGCATTTGTGGATTGTTTTCGAAGTGTCAAGCGTGCGTGTATCGATCGGTTTTTTGTTTTTGTTTAGAATTTCATAACATAACCCTATTAACTTTGTTTGCAATTTGCAATAATAATAATTATTATTCTTGAAATGGAGAATCAGAATCCAATAATTGTTAGTAAGTATTGTTTCAACTGTATACTCACTAACTCACTTACCTATCCTCTCTTTTATGATCCTGTTATGCGTAGTTTATTTCATTTCAATCCTTGAACATTATTTTATAAATAAAAAATTAATTAAAATTTCCGAACGATTTACTCCACACAAACTCACAAGCAAAAGTATAACGCACACGTATTCGAATTCATAATAAATAACCAAAACAGAAGCATCAGCCGGATGCCGGACCAGAATCAGCTATTAATAATCGATAATCCCTGGCAATATGCTTTAATGCGCAAGTCAACCCAAACAGTTCTCAATTTGGACCATGTACCGAAATTATCGTTCTGAAATCGTAACTAAACGATCCCAAGGTAGGTTGGTACGCAAATAGGAACTAGGTTGGTACGCAATATTGGAACATATTTGAATTACTGCGCACGAGCGTGATCATTCGGTGACGGTTCTGCGGCGGGTTGGAACAAACCTATATTATTTTAATGCAATCGATATGACGGCGGCGTGAACTATATATTGATATTTTCTGATTTCTGCCGTAGAGTGCGCTGCGGTCGGAATTTGTTGAAATCAACTGAAATGTACCAAGCCTATACAAATAACGTACTTACACCTACTTATTAAATTTATCACATTACACACAAACCTACAATGAAATGACCTACAATTTAATGTGAACTTTATCTGGTTGATTTTCTATTTTGATTTATTTTAGTTATTTAATTTATTTGAATTCTACTGACAAAACACCACGTTACATTTTACATTCGTAGTTTGAAAATTTTCGTTAATTTTTTTCCTTAATAATATCCGTAAAACGTACAATTTATTGTTTTTTTTTCACCCATTTAAAGCTACACAAATGGGGTTTTGTTTTATTTTTATTTTTTCTTAGTTACCTATAACTGGAATGCTTTTGTTTTGTTTTAACAGAATACCTCGCCCACACGCCTGAGCAAAAACCAAGTTAGTATAACACAGTTATTTTGTGTTTGTGTTTGTAAGTAAAAGTTGGCAGCAATGGAATAATGTTAGTCTCTAGCATGACGATTTTCTAACAATTCTATTTTTATTTATTTTATATTTGCTTATGAGGATTTATCTGTATAAGACATAAAATAATGGTATTGTATTATCGAAAGAAACGGCGTTCACTTGGTTTGGAAATGAAAATGGATTAGGTTCTACAGGGTGAGTTTCCTACGATGTTCTCTATGTGTATCTCGGAAACTACTGGAGATAGAGAGTTGGTTAAATGGGGAAAAAATGCAGTTTTGTGGGGTCATAAATATGCGCCTTTCAGATTTTTGAAAAAGTTCATAGCTTACTAGATATTTCGAAAAAAAAAACAAATTTCGGCTATTTTGAAATTTGTCCCTAATTCCATTATAATCTATTTTAGTCAAAAAGTTTTCAGATAAAAGTTGTAGATAATCACATCCTTAATGAGATTGTATCCTCCGCTTTTTTCTAAAGCTTGTCATTTTTGACATATGGTACAAACATATTATTTTTTTTAAATGGAAGCCATAGTTGTCCATGACTTCATAAAAAGCGCCATTTTTTAAGCTTTTTAGCGATATAAGCTATAATATGTTTTTTTTTCTTCGAAAAATTACAAGCTATAGCCAATTCTTATCGTTTTTAAACAATTTCACTTAGTTAGCTATGGAAACAAGTCCAATCGTTCGTTGCTCTCAGAAATGTGAAGCTGTCACATCCAAACTTTGTAAATTAAAATAAACAAAAATTGTAAATATGATTTTCAAATGAAGAAAAGCTTGTAGATACTCGCGCATCAATAGTGTGGTTCCAACATGACTTTCATTATGACCCTCGACCCCCCCCCCCCCTAATGAAAGAAATGTTAAAAATTATTTATATCATAATTATGCAAACTCAGGGATAGGAAGAGGCTGACCAAGTGCATGGACTTCCTCGATCACCTGACCTATCCATTTTAGATTTTTTTATGCGGTATGGTTAACAATAAAGTTTACAAAAAAACTTATGAATTAAGAAAGGCACTCGAAGTGGCGGTATGAGAGAAGTTTAATTAAGTCGACCGGTCCTTCTGTGAGAATAGGTAGTAATTTATTTTTAAAAAGATGCAACTCTCAAAACAATGGCGGATTTTTTGAACATTTTCTAAAATAACTTAAAGTGTATGTAGTGATATTATTTTTTTAAATTTTAGTTTGTGTCGAACACCGGTCGAACCAATAATCGTACACGCTTTTCTTCATTTGAAAACTTCATATTTACAATTTGTGTTTATTTTAATTTACAAAGTTTGTATGTAACAGCTTCACATTTCTGAGAGCAAAGACGATTAAACTTGTTTTCATGGCTAACTAAGTGAAATTGTTTAAAAATTATAAAAACTGGTGCTTTTTATGAAGTCATGGTCAAACCAACTATGGTTTGCATTTAAAAAAACATATATTTGTGTCATATGTCAAAAATGACAAGTTTTAGAAAAAAACACATAGGACATAATCTCATTAAGGATGTGATTATCTACAACTTTTATCTGAAAACTTTTTGTCTCAAATAGCTTATAATGGTATTAGGGACAATTTTTAAAATAGCTGAAATTTGGTTTTTTTTCGAAATATGTAGTAAGCCATGAACTTTTCAATCTGAAAGGCGTATATTTATGACCCCACAAAACTGCAATTCTTTCCCCATTTAACCGACTCTCTATCTTCAGTAGTTTCCGATATACCCATAGACAACATCGTAGAAAACTCACCCTGTATATGCAATTTAACATATAAAATGGTAGCGCACTTTGTTTCCAAGCTATATCTGATGCCGTTGACAGTATGGTATTTATTTTTAGAATATAATTTTTTAAATAGTAAATGAAGGGGTTTATACATTATCATCATTCAACCTGACAATTACACGTTAATGTCACTGGGATACTTAATCTAAAAATAGGGAGATGTCTTTATAATCTGTAATTTAGTATATCTTTTGTTGGATATATTTTTAATCAACATTATCTTCATAATTATTCATAAAAATAATCATAAAATTTTACTAACGAATATCATTGGACTTGCGACACATTACTTTAACCTATTGTTTAACACTATCTGGAGACTGTAGTGGCTACAATAATTGTCGAAATACAGGGTGCTTCAAAAAACATGTGTCATTTCTTCTGGGGAAATTTCTCACGTAAAAATAAGTCCGATTCTGCTTTGTTTCCTAGCTACAGCCTTATTATTTTTTAGATTTATTATAATTTTCTTCCAGGAACTATTAGCGATTCGAATGAAATTTTGAGGGTAAAAGTTACTATAAATGTGACATATTCATTTAGTATTATAGTATTAGTCCGGGTTATCAACGGAATATTTTTCTAAAAAAATCATGCCCGCCACTTACTTTCTTTTCTTTTGTTAGCGAAATATACTCTGTATAGTGTATGTCGTTTAATGCCGATTAATAGTTCTCGCTGGTTCTGATATTTTGTCGATTTCGGCCTCCTTGATGAGATAAACGCAATTTATTAATTTGCCTTGATCCAAGTGAAATAGCTTTTAAAAAAATTAATATCATTAACTTGTAAGTACTCATTGATTCCTCATTAAAAAATATGAAAAAAAATCCTATAAACAAGGATATGGAAATGCATAGTTTTAAAGTTACAGGATATCAACACTTTTTAAAATTAGCTATTTTATAATTATCTTAAATAATATTATATTTTTATTTAAATTTGCTGTTAGGTTGGACTACTAGTAATAATATTTAATAATAGAGTAGGTAAAATATGTGATTAATTAATTTTATTTTTATTTTAGTTTTATTAATTGTGATTAATAAAATTGCGTTTATTTCGACAAGGAAATCAACAAAATATCAAGATACAACTTTCAACTGGCATTAAACGGCTTACACAATTTTGAATCTGTGGACACATTTTTAGCATTAAAGTATGTCGCACTATAGTAACATTTACCCTCAAAATTTCATTTGAATCGCTAAAAGTACTTGGAAGAAAATTATCACAAATCGAAAAAATATTAAGACTTTAATCCCCAGTAACTACGAAACAACGCAGAATCGGACCTATGCTGATATGAAAAATAAATCTTATTTTTACATGAGGAATCTTTCCCCATAGATGGCACATGTTTTTTGAAACACCCTGTAGTGGTAATAATTGTTTAAATATTATCTACATTTTTGTTTTTGTCTACCACGACTAGTGATTTTTGATCTTCAATTCACAATAATTTTCGTATATTTTCATGTTATGTCAATGTTTCTTTGAGATGCCAAATTAAACAATTTGACATTAAATAACGCGAATAAAAAAAACATGTAAAAACAGTTCTAATTTTTGTATAAAATGCCAAAAATAATTTGAATTTTACTCGAAATTTAATATAGGAAGCGGTGCTATAAAAACTTTGGTAGATTTTGTATCTTTTAAAATCTTCCAGATACCAGTAGCGGACATCGACAGTGTCACTGTATACCAAAATTATAAGATTATATTGCTAGTACCGCATTTACACAATGAGTGGAAAGTGAAGCCAAAGAAAAGAAATAGGAACATCAATCTTGCATAAGTCTATCCGTTTGATCCAGTAGGATTTTTGTGCGCACGCGTCATATAAAACGATCTGATTCGTCTACTTCATCGCTGAACGCTGTCACCTGCTCGCGCACTATTTTAAACTCTAAATAGTAATAACGTATAATATATTTTTTTTATTGGTATTGACATTATTTCAACTTGTTATATTAGATATTCATCATATCTATCCGTTTCTTGTTTTTGTTTAAATATGTCAGAGATTAAATTTATATGTAAATGCGTGAATAGTCAGACGCAAAATCGATTTGCGTGGTAGATAGAAACTAAGAAAACTACTTCTATTGGTTAGTATGAAATATATCAACTAATTGCGAAGCACTTCTCACGCTTGCGTAGTTCTAAGCTGTTGAACGAAAAGGACCGAGTTATGTGGATTTTGTGTAGCTCTATCTCAAAAATTTGGCTTCAATTTCTAGCAATATAGTCTTATAATATATTTGCCTTATACAAACAAAATAATAAGAACTAATTAGCGATGTTGTCAAATTATTAAAAAAACAATCTAGACACATATAATTCAGTCAAATATTTTCATATTAAAAATCATTAGTGCCTATTTCATTCATGTAATCATCAAATTAACTTTCGCTACTGTTATGCTGTTATGTCAACTCTTTTATTATTACTTGCACATACACAAATTCCTATATCTATACTTTTTTAAATAGCTGCCCAGCCACCAAAAGGATTTAGACAGATCTTTAAAGAACAAGGTCCAGAAGCGTTTGCCAAAGCCGTACGTAATCACAAAGGTCTCCTGCTTATGGACACCACTTACCGAGATGCTCATCAATCACTATTAGCTACCAGAGTCCGAACTCATGATTTGCTCAACATATCGCCGTTTGTTACTCATAATTTCAGTCAATTGTACTCTCTAGAAAATTGGGGCGGTGCTACTTTTGATGTAGCTTTGAGGTGACGAATTCTATTCAGTGTTAATGATGATTAATTGAATGAAATATATTTTTCGTAGGTTCTTGCACGAATGTCCTTGGGAACGTTTGGAAGAGATGAGAAAGTTAATTCCGAATGTGCCTTTCCAAATGTTGCTCAGAGGAGCAAACGCCGTTGGGTATACCAATTACCCAGATAATGTTGTTTATAAATTCTGTGATCTTGCCGTAAGTATATTTATTGTTACAGGTTATTGTACTTACTGTAATATCATCAATCAACCCACCAAAACAATAAAAGCTAATGCCCAATGCAACCTCGGTAACGTATTAAATATTGCCCTCTTGTTTTCAAAGCTACAAGCAACTGCTAAATTTCTTGAAATCCTTGCGAAAATAGTACGATGACGCTGTGTCCTTTCAAGATACAATGTTCTATAACTTGCGCATGCTATATCGGGATTTCTATTATTTTTTAAGTTAACATCATACATATCTCGTGTTTCCTCACTTATGAACATATTGTTAACTGTTAATACACTTTAATACTACTATCTGCTCTATTTTTTTTGTCCAGATTTGATATTTAATAGAGTAAACAAAAATTAACTTGCTAATAAAGTGTCAATTGGATTTCCAAGGCAGACTCGATCTCTTAAGCGAATTTTTAAAAAATCTATTTTTAGTGAATTTGCATAATAATGAATAAAAATTAGTACCACCGTATAGACTTTTTTTCGCTTTATCTAATAGTATAAAAATTCAAAATGGCGGTCACAAGAAAACAAAAATTTGACTGTTGTTCTGCGAAAACTAGAAGGCTTTGAAATTTTTTGAAAATGGCATTTAATTGCCCGAGGTCAAAATATAACACTACCAACTTACGTTGCAATAGATACAATAGTTCTGAAGATAAAATTATATAAGGCTTCTTGCCACTTAACTGCTGATATAGAAATTTAATTCTACGCTGTGTTAGTCATAATGTGGATCAAGCTGCTCTCACTACCGGTTTCGGAGCCCTACTCCAGCATCAGATGAGCTTGGGCAGATCGACAAAATGACAACCACAGCGCAGAGATAGTTAATTCCGGCTTGTCGGAAAGTGTTGGTTAGATATTAATTCCTGAACGGTACATAGCGGCCTACGTGCAATGGTAGTACTTTCGTACCACCGAGGCGCAACTATCGATAGTAAAAAGATGGTAAAAGGCTTTTTTCCAGGCAAGCCAAATTATAAAATAGAAAACAAATTTCTTGCAGTATAGGTATATAATAAAATTATATAAGGATTCTTGCCACTTAACTGTTGATATAGAAGATATTTTCATTTAAACTAAACATATTATTTTCATTTTTTTGGCATAAATCTGAAACTAATCAAGATAGCGGGGTTTTCTTCATCAGGTGTTTGCCAAACTTCTAATTACGCAACTTTTGTCCCATTTAACCGAATTCGTATCTCTCGTAGTTTCTGAGATGCCAATGTTGAGCATCGAAATTGTAACAACCCTGTATAAAACTTTAAAATGCATCAAAATATTAAGGTGCCCGTTTTTCGTACCGGTGAGCATTAGCGTAACTAGCAATTCATCCTGGGGGAGGGGGCTAGGTCTTTTGTTTTTTAATAAATGAAGAATAATTTAAAAAAAAACGTTTTTTGAATAAAACGTTTACATGAATTTCTCTATCAGTAAATTCATAGACTTCGTTATCAAACCGTGTTCCCGTATGTTACTTAAATACCTACAAATTTTGAAAAAATATAAATTTTCAGAACAAAAAAAAACACATTTTTCGAATACAATAAAATAATCTTAACTAAACCAAACTAGAAAACGTCATTTTTAGTACATCACAAGCAAATAAAAATTAATACGTAGCCAAGAGTCATAATTCAAGATTTCTCGGGGGGGTGACCAGCAGTACCTGGTGGGGGGGGCGGTACCCCTGTAGTTAAAACCTAACCAATGCCGGTGAGGGTAGTGGACTACAGTACTATTTTTCACTTTTAAGGATATGTGCACATTTCTATATTTTTAAATATAGGTCCAGACTGGTATGGACGTGTTCCGTGTTTTCGACTCTCTCAATTACTTGCCTAACTTGATCGTGGGAATGGAGGCAGCCGGTAAAGCTGGAGGCATCGTAGAGGCAGCCATTTCCTACTCCGGTGATGTCAGCAACCCCAAGAAAACAAAATACGACTTAAACTATTACTTAAAGATTGCCGAAGAACTTGTCAAAGCCGGTACTCACGTGTTGGCCATCAAAGACATGGCCGGTTTGCTAAAACCTAACGCCGCAAGGTAACACGCCTTCCATTTTATCTGTATTCTTTTTTAAAAAGGTTTTTTTTATTTAAGGATTCTAGTTTCCGCTCTACGTGACAAATATCCAGAACTGCCAATCCACATTCACACCCATGACACTAGCGGAGCCGGAGTGGCCGCCATGTTGGCTTGCGCTGAGTCCGGTGCTGACGTTGTAGATGTCGCTGTCGATGCCATGTCGGGGCTGACGTCACAGCCTAGTATGGGAGCTATAGTGGCCAGTTTGCAAGGCACTCCTTTAGATACCAATCTGGATTTACAGAAGGTATGTAGACTATTGAACTAACATGTTCAACTAAAATAATGTAAATAGACAAATTTTACTGCCAGTAAGAAGGGAACCAAATATTAAAGATTAATAGAATTTAATCTATTGATATACAATCTTTATTTGTATTTGTTTCTTTACCAATAATTACATAACTACGTCATTTTTGGATTTTCAAAAATAAATTTGATAAAACAATAGTTGTTTAGGTTTTAGGTGAAAAAGGTGTAGACTGATGTAGATAATTAATAATAATGAATAGGTGTAGACTATACCGTTTGGTTCATCGGAATACGGGAAATTCCATGTAAATTTTGAAGAAGTAAAATATTATTTGGAGATGATTATTATGCAAAAATTATATTTTATTTGTAACCTTTTTTGAGGAGGCGTTAAAGTTGTACTTTCATCTAGAATTTCGTTTTATTTGGAATAGGCATCTAAAAGCTATTTGCGAAATTTACCTTCAAATTATTAAAAATTTATAATATGGCCCAGAGAAAGCTACAGTTAAAATATCAGCAAAAATATGATTTTGTCATTGTCAAATTTGTTGTCACTTTTTTTTTGTTTATAAGAATTTGTGTGGTTGGGAAAGGATGAATATTTTTCTGAATTGGAATGATCATCTACAAAAGAATTAGTTGAATGAGAATTAATTGAACTGTATTCGCGGAGTATGACTTAATTGCTGTTCATTACCCGATCACTCATAATCGTGCCTTTAGTTTCAAACCTTTGCCTACTTTATTCTTTAAACTGTTGACTTATTCGATATTGGCTTTCCGGAGACTGAGATGTGAACAAATCTAACACAGCGGGAATAATATTTACAGTAAAATACCGTTTACCCATTGTAACTTTTTCAGAAGTTGCGAAAATCTTAATTATTTTTAGATTGGAAGGTGCCCATAAGGACAATGTAAATACTATTTGGCGCTGTTCTTGCAACGGTCGCGACCCAAAGCTTTTGGTGATTTCTGATCGATTCGGCTTTTTCCGGAATTATGTCGTCAAATATTACTTATTTATTATTATTTTCTTTTAATTTTATAAATAAAACACAATGTGTTGCATGTAAGGAACTTTATTATATACTAGCGTGTACCAGCGACTTCGTTCGCGTCGAATTAATCATTTGTAATGGTGATGATAAAGCAAAGCAAGAATTTGCATTAACATACAAACTGGATAAAATTTTCTCACATTTATGTCAGCATGAAAAAAAAACAATATGGCGATATTATTATATAACTTGCCAAAAATAAGCTTTATACGTCAAGCAGTTTAAGCAGAATCGTGGTTAAGAAACTACCCAACTTTTTGGAACACCCTGTATGATTTTTTAAAAAATGTCAAAATATGTAAAAAAACCAAATAATAAATTATGCTTGTCCAAGCGCTTTCCCGAAAGACTAACCGTTTTTTAAATAACAAATATTGTAATATTTGAGAGGCATTTTCACCCTCTTGGAATTTGAGATTCGAGAAACCCGTCCTTATCGAACCTCTACACCCCACAGTCAATCCGTTTGTCAAAAATCAGCTTTAAACGCCAAGCAGTTTAAGCAGAATCGTGATTACTCAATGGTCATACTTTATGAAACACACTGTATAAATTTATAAAAAATCTTAAAATATGTAAAACAACAAAATAAAATACACTTTGTATGTTTAAGAGTTTTTCGAAAAACTAATATTTGAGGGATAGTTTCACCCCCTTAGACTTCGAGTTTCGAAAAATCCCTTCGTATCGAACCTCTACATCCTAAAGTCAATCTGTTTTCCAAAAATCAGCTTCTTACGTCAAGCGCTTTAAGCAGGATCGTGATTAATCAATGACCAGATTTTTCGAAACACCCTGTATACATTTTTAAAAAATCTTAAAATATGTAAAAAAACAAAATAAAATATACATGTTTAAGCGTTTTTTCGGAAACTTGACCGTTTTTTAAATAAAAAATATTGTAATATTTGAGGGGTGGTTTCACCCTCTTGGAACTGGAATGTCGAAAAATCCCTTCTTATCGAACCTCTACACCCTAGAATCAACCTGTATGCCAAAATTGAGCTTCTTACGTTGAGTGGTTTGAGCAGGATCGTGATTAATCAGTATGTCAGTCACTTAAGGATTTTATATATTAGTATAGATAAGGACATGATGAAATACCTATGAAACATTGGAAACCGACGTTATGCCACGATAATTTTTGCAGTTCACAACACAGCTTTTTAAGTTTTTAATGCCACTTTTTTACAATTATCATGGATTTGAGTAAATAAAATTTAAATTAAACTCACAAGATAGCAATAATTACCTTGAGAATGAACGCTTTAAATACTTTTCGGTATTTTTTCAATGAGGGCGGTTTAAATTTTGAAAGATTTAATAATTTTTGAAGATTCTGACTTTGAAAATAGATATGGACAAGAGAAAATTATTTTTGTTATTGTTTGGGCGGTTGTTCTTAGCAACGGCTACAGCAGCGGCAGATCGCGTACAACGGTCGCGACCCAAAACATTTTCGCGACCTAAAATTTTGACGGGATTTCTAATCTAAATTTATTTTCTTTATCTATTTCCTTTGTCTACTTGATACCTTAACATTTTTATAACCAACACAATTTGTGACACAATCACATTTTTGCTGGTATTTTAATTGTAGCTTTCTCTGGGCCGTATTGTAAATTTTACTAATTGGAAGGTAGATTTTTGCAAGTAACTTTTAAATGTCTATTCCAAATGAAATGAAATTCTAGACAAAAGTACAACTTTAACTCCTTTTCAAAAAAGTTTCAAATTAATACAACTTTTGCGTAAAATTATCTAGAGAGATAATATTTGACCTTTTCAAAATTTACCTGGGATTTCCTATGTCCCGTGTTCGGATGCACACGGTAGATTAATGATATCATTAGTGATGTTGTTTTCAATTGATCTCACAGTGCAATTATTAGACATTTCCTATATTGAGGATTACTTTTATAGATTTCTGAATATTCTGCCTATTGGGAACAAGCCCGTACATTGTACGCACCGTTTGAATGTACAACAACGATGAAGAGCGGTAATGCTGACGTATACAACAACGAAATACCCGGAGGACAATACACTAACTTACAGTTCCAAGCCTACTCTCTCGGTCTAGGTGACTTCTTCGAAGATGTGAAGAAAGCGTACGCTGAGGTACCCATTTAAAGCAGAAAAGCTGTTGATTGTATTTAACATTTTCGTTGTTTCTCTTTCAGGCGAATATACTTTTAGGAGACATTATTAAAGTAACTCCGTCATCGAAAGTGGTGGGTGACTTGGCCCAGTTTATGGTACAGAACAAACTAAAATCCCAAGATGTTTTGGACAAAGCTGAAGAACTGTCGTTCCCGAAGTCTGTGGTGGAATATTTGCAAGGTTACATTGGACAGCCTTACGGTGGATTTCCTGAGCCATTAAGATTTAAGGTAAGTTATATTAGCTTAGAATTATTTATTTTAAATTTTGAATAAAGTAGAGATGGGTTGTTCTTTAACTATATGTTATTTTATAACAGATTATTTAGAAATAACATAATGCAACCGTTGCTATCTCTAAAAAATAACAGATATAAAATAACGACACGTAGAGATCGACGCGACGGCTCGTGATATGTATTAAGTATGCTCAGTATGAAGTAAAAATCGCTACGAGGTAATAATTCTCGAGATATTTTGAATGGAAATTATCAATACCTGTCATCATTGACAAAAATTAAACATGTTGATTAAATAGTTATTAAACTGAAATAATAAATTTGAAAAGTTTTGTGCCAAAAGTTCAACAGAAACTGTTTTATCCTCGGTTTTATCGGATGTATGTATTGACATTGACTATTTCTATTCTAAATATCTTGATAACGGTTTTTTTTTCTCAATAACAAGGGACCGTCTTTTGTCGGAATCACTGCGACCTGTGAGGCCTAATGTGTTTGTCCCCTTTCTATATCTGCACTTATTCTCCTATCCCTTTGCCCTGTACTAACTTATGCAGGTTCTTGATAGGATGGGAGCATAGTTCTCCCGGTTCTAGCCTAGCTTTCCCAAATAAAAAGTGTCGCTTGCGATCCAAAGCCTCGCAGTGACATAAATATTATGTGCTCCGCTGTTTCAGGATCTTTATCGCAGAGTCGGCAGCAAAGACTTCCTTCCTTCAAGTTGAGCTTGTTCAGGTAACACTTGACAGCCATGTGTCCTGTCAAGAGGCCTGTTGTAATCCGCACTTTCTTTTGCGGTTTTAGAGTTAGGCCCTTGGATAAAGGTCTTGCTGTGCTTGTGCTCCTGTCTTTTTCTCCAGTGGACATTCTCCTTTTCCCTGATCCACGTTTTATTACCTATGCATTTGGGTATTCCCAGTACTGGCTGTGGACCAAGATAGGATGCCGATAATCCTTGCCTAGCTAGCTCATCGGCTTTTTCGGATGCCGCTGTGGCCCGGCACCCAGAATAATTTAATTCTGTTCCTTCCTGCCTGCGATCCCAGTTCACCTAGGCGTTCCCAGACGAGTCTCGACGATACATTTGGGCTCATAGAGCGCCCCAAGTGCCGCCTTACTGTCTGAGCATATATTGATGAGCTTACTACAATAAACTTTTATTTTCTCTCGCACATTGTAGAGTGGTGAAGATTTCTGTCTGGAATACGGTTCAGTATTTACCCAAGGAAAAGGGTAAACTGGCCCTTGGTCTTTTCCCAAGTATTCCAGCTCCTGTTCCTTTAGCGGACCCGTCTGTGTACCAGGTTAGTCCATTCTGAAGGAATGTTATATCTGTCCACATTCCTCGATCCATCTTGTTCACCTCGAATGGTTTGTGGTAGTGATAAAGAGGGGTCATTTGGTCCGATCTCATTTGGAGTAGAGGTCCCCCGATAGAATCTCTCTTGAGAACGGTTGGTCCTAGCAATTTTTACCAAGAGACATTTTTTACGTAAAAAGTCACGGAAATGTTTATTTTTTCACTTAGTAGTCCCAGTAGTTTTATACAGGTGCGGACGAAAATTTATTACTCTTCAAAGCAGTTAAAACACATGTAGGTGGCGCCCCCTACAAACGGGAGTCATATTGATTATTGATATTAAAATCAGAGTTACCAGATGGTCATCCATCCACTCTCATCGTCTAATGTCGCTTAATCGATGATCTATTGGGAACCGTTGTTTCGACTTAACTGTGCCGTTGCCTTATAGTACGAGAGCTAGCAACTTCGGAAAAACAAGTATTTTAAGACGTCTGGCTCTTTGATATATCTTTTACTATTCTCTGTAGAACTGCATGCGACCCGTCTGGCTGCCGGTAAAAGTTGCGTTCACTACTGCGCATTGAAGAAGATCCTATATTTTTATTAGTCCTTTAAATTCTAGTATTGAATATAAATCGATATATTTGTTTTTTTTAATTACCAGAATTATTTAACACTTTACTATCAGAATATAAACGAAAATAAAATAAAAAAGTCTTTGCCTTGACCTGGATTTGAACTCTGAATCATCGGTTCGTGGTCGGAAACTCTACGCACTGCGCTATGGTGACATGTTCGATTTATATTCAATACTATAATTTAAAGGACTAATGAAAATATAGGATCTTCTTTCAATGCGCAGTAGGGAACGCAACGCATGCTGTTCTAGAGAGCATAGTAAAAGATATATCAAAGAGCCAGACGTCTTAAAATACTTTCTCGAAAACGTTGATAGCTCACTATTATATTTAAATAAATTTCTGAGAAAATGTATGCTAATATTTTTGTGTAATAGAATTAAAAAACAACTACTTATTTTGTTTCAGGTGTTAAGAGACATGCCACGCATCGAAGGTCGACCTGGTGCCAGTCTGCCTCCGTTCGATTTCAAAGCGCTAGAAGAAGAACTGAAAGAAACCTTCCCTCAATCCACCGACCGCGACGTCGTCAGCGCCGCGCTTTACCCTCAAGTTACCCGCGAATATCTGGCCTTCAACGAGAAATTCGGCCCGGTCGACAAACTGGACACGCGGATATTCTTAGTCGGACCCAAAGTTGGCGAGGAATTTGAGGTCACCATCGAAAAAGGAAAAACGCTGGGCATCAAGACTTTGGCGATGGCCGAGGATTTGACGGAACAGGGAGACCGCGAAGTGTTCTTCGAGTTGAACGGCACTCTTCGATCTGTCTTTATCAGAGACAAGGACGCTCATAAAACAATAGAGGTCCATCCTAAGGCTGATAAGACTAATAAGAATGAGATTGGGGCGCCTATGCCTGGAACAGTAATCGACATTAGAGTAAAGGTAATGTCATGAAATACCGTGCTGGCAACTGTTACTTTTGGGTCGGTATTTACATGTGTGTGGAAGTAAATCGCATAAGGATCTTATTAAGTTGGAGTGAGAGAAATGCGACAGTGTGCTGTTGCGTTGTTGCCGGGACGCCTTTCCCAAAAAAAAATCAAGTAAAGTAAAATCGCGACCGCAAACCGCTTCTTTTTAAGACTTTTTTTTCGAAAAGATAACTAGATAAAATCATTAGAATGTTTCTGAGCATCTAAAATGGAATTATAAGGATATCGTTAGGGTGTCCAATTTTTTATAACGAGAAAACGTCAGTAATCGCGATAATTTAAAAACTCAACTTTTTAACACATAACACGCCATAACTTAAGAACCACTTTAGATATTGAAGCTTTTTTATTTTCATTTACAATATATTTACATAAGAAAAATTCGATAAGGTTGTTTTTTCCATTCTAAAATTTAAACAGCCCATCTATTTACTTTTAGTGCATAACAGTTTTTAGCAATCGTGTAACTTTTTTATTTATAAAGATTTTTGTATACTTTCTGCGAAGAAAGTTTTTGAAAAACTACAATCAATTAATTCTAGTAGATTTCGACATATCGATTTTTCAATTCAGAGTTCTAATAGCGCGACCACTGTCGAACACCCACTCAATTCTACTTATTTTTACCAAAAATGCAAATGTTTCTAACTTGCACTTAAAATTTTCAAGTTATAGGGAAAATTACGACGATTTGTTAATAAATAAACAAATGAAGTATCACGAGACGTAATTAAATCGTGAAGCTGAACGCATGATGTACACCTTTCTCTAGAACTTCAAGTACTGACAGAGGTACTAATTGGGTCAACCGGTCGACTGCGACAAATCTGCTATATCCCCTTCCACGTCTCTTAGCAATGTGCACAGTTTCTCGGTTTATTTCATACTTTTGGCAACGTGTTCACTGTTCCCTCTTTGTTCAGTACATTATAAACGCATTGTGGTCTTCTTATATACGGAAATCTCGACCCAAGACTATCCTTTGCCAGCCCTTAGTATAGTTATTAGTACGAAGCTTATCTTACGTAAAATGGAACCATTATAACATTAAACTGAAGTCTTGTGAATCGTTATAGCCGAAATAGCCTCAGTTATGTCCCCACTAGCAAAATCGGTGCATAAAACTATTATCGCTAACTTAGTTGAACTCATTTAAAAAGTTTTATTAGCTGAAGTAATAAATAATAATAATAATACAAGTTAGACCTTCTGAAGGTATCAAAATCTTTACTTTTTTATTTTTATTTTTAGAATGTGCACAAATTATACTTCCTACCATTTTTTAGAATATAACAAATTTTTCGTGTATTTGCTATTTGAATCCGTGTATTTGTTTAGTCCACTGTTTACAGTATTCTCCGATGGTGGTAGCACCAGCGAAGAATGCACCAAGCTTATAATAGCCTAACTTTACACCTTTAGTTTTGTACCGCGTAAGACAAAAAAACGATAATTATCCACAAAGATTTTATGCACTGACCTGCCGAAAAAAGAACAATTTTAAAGTTGAAAAAGTTACTCAATGCTTAACATAATTCTCGAATATATGATACGCACCTGTTCAATACTTTGCATATACAGGGTGTTTTTTAAGCGACCAAAAAATTTTATGGTATTTTTTTAATGAAAAAAGTTTATACAGGGTGTTTCAATAAACATGTGCCATCTCTCGTGGGGAGATTCATCACGTAAAAATAAGATTTATTTTTTTATATCAACATAGGCCCGATTCTGCTTTGTTTCGTAGCTACAGGGTGTTAAAGTCTTAATATTTTTTTGATTTATTATAATTTTCTTCCAAGTACTTTTAGCGTTTCGAATGAAATTTTGATGGTAAAGTTAACTATAAATGTGACATATTTTAAAGCTAAAAAAGTGTCGACATATTCACCAGGGACGTACATATGGGTCAACACTGGAATATTTTTCTAAAAAGAAGCGTGTACGCCACTGACTTTTTTTCTCTTGTTAGCAAAATAGTGTAAGCAGTTTAATGCCGATTAAAAGTTGTCTCTTGATATTTAATAATAAAATAATTCTGAACAATTTTTTTCTTGATTGTCCATCGTTTCTTAGCAAAATCGATCTGTTAAGTTTTTTTTTTCATCTCTCTGTTTTTGCGATAAAAAATTAACTAAATAAAAAAAAATAAAACTACATTGCGTATCTCAAAATCGTTAGAAAACGGGCATATATGATTCAGGCAGGCTTTATTTTTAGGTACAAGAAAAACTCAAGATAGATAAAAACAATTGACAATCGAAAAAAAAAAATTATGTATCGTTTTCTCCAAATATAGTGGCGTAAAAATTAAAATACTTTTTTTTTCTCGAAACGTATTTATAAAAAACGTAAATTATATATTTTTAAAAATTTTTAGAACCCTGTAGTACAAAAGGTTTAAAAGTTCTGATGTATCAATTTTAGTATTGGAGAAATGAGGAGATTAATTTATTTAAAATTCCTTCACACTTTTTATCATTTCGCTGATATTAAAATCGGTAACATAAATGCAAATATCTTGGAAAGTGTTCGCTCTTTCAAACTAAAGGGAGAGCACCTTGTTTTCTTAACAAAGCTCTAGCTTTTTATGTTATTTATTGAAATTACTGTATCTATAAGGATACAAGAAGTACCACCAGTAGTACTCTTTACCCTAATGGAAAGCACCCTATTAGGGCTGTTACAGAATTTTACACAATCGCCATTCGCTTTGGTATTAAAATGTGTGTAAAGCTTCATTCAGAACCTCCCAATTTAAATTAGTAGTTTCAATTACACTTTATATTTTTTAATTTACGATCATTCACAATGTCTAAAAAACACAATTAAAATTAATAAAATATCCTATCAACAGCTTGCGGTAGTCTATTGTATCCATAGAGGAAGCATAATATTTAGCTTATAAAACAATAAACTTTTGATTGCACATTTCTCGCAAATTTTGAAGTATAATTAATGGAAAAGTCAAAAGTTTGTTAACTTTTTCCACTAATTGAAAATTACTAACCCTAATTATGACGTTCTGAATACTTACATTAAAATCAGGTGAATAAACTTCTACGGCTAACGAGGAAAATGCATGTTTTTAAATAATGGTTTTAAAAAATAGTTCATATAATTACAAATTGAACAAAAAAAGAAATCGTTGATATCGGTTAAGAAATGCCTCTAATATAAAATAATTAAATATTGTTAATTTAAATGGCCGGGCAAACGCTCTCTACCGCGCCTTGCCACTGTGACGTCACCCGCCGTTCTTCTGGTTGAGTGGAGCCAGATGCGTATTTATTTTACACAGTTTGCTTTTAAAGGCTGTTGAATCCGAGTCAAAATTTTAGTTATTTGTGTTAATTAATACATAATTAGTAATTAGTGATATTTATAAATAGTAATGGATGAGCGAAAACAGAAAAAAATGGTCCAAGGCCATGAGAAGAGATGAAAAGACAAACGTTAAATTATCCTCTATTTTTACGATTTATTGTTGTGAAGATCATTTTGATGTAAGTTCATATATTTATGTATATTGTCTTACATAGGTATATGAAATTTGAATGTATGTACAGGGTTATTCATTATATTTTGACACCCACATATTTTTACACAGTTTGCTTTTAAAGGCTGTTGAATCCGAGTCAAAATTTTAGTTATTTGTGTTAATTAATACATAATTAGTAATTAGTGATATTTATAAATAGTAATGGATGAGCGAAAACAGAAAAAAATGGTCCAAGGCCATGAGAAGAGATGAAAAGACAAACGTTAAATTATCCTCTATTTTTACGATTTATTGTTGTGAAGATCATTTTGATGTAAGTTCATATATTTATGTATATTGTCTTACATAGGTATATGAAATTTGAATGTATGTACAGGGTTATTCATTATATTTTGACACCCACATACAGCCTTAACTGCAAGTTTTAGAAGAAAACATTAAATAAAAAAGTTGCATGGTTTTTTATATACTCTCTTTTAAAATTAATTCTAGTTATACAGGGTGTCCCAAAAAAGGTGGTGCAGAAAATTGTAGGTATTTTTCGCTTTTCAACTGTCAATATTTCGTAAACATTTGAAGATAGGTATAGGATATTATACATAAAATATATCTAGAATATCTAGAAATTTCCGAAGAATCTCAAAATATATAGGGTGTTTCACTTAAAAAAGTAACTTAATTTTGGCGTTTGCTTATGGGACACCTTGTATAATATTTTTATTACTGATAAACAATTTATTTCCTATAATTTCCAGTAAAAAAAACAATCTTTAAAAATAACAAGGGTAAGGGGGTGTCAATATATAAAAAAAGCTTTCTTTTTCACGCTATGCTGTGGAGTTATTTTTCCACGTACTAAACAAATATTTTTGTCTCTTTTCACTTCTACATAACCTACAGCATTATCTCCATACGTCTCCCTACCTGATCAGAAAAATAAGTTTATAACATTAATTTATAACTATATAAAAGTTTGTAACAGTAGGTACCTACTTATACTTAAATATGCCTCAGTACTACAAAGAATAAATGTTTTATACCTCTCTATTTTTTTCCTAGTAATTCAGCACCAATAAATTGGGAGTATGTATTTATAAAAGCAGCCAACATAAAAGCATCGACTTTTGGCAAGTAATGTGATTGTGCTTTTACAAACCCGGAATCAGCCATTACTTAAAAAATTCACAACACATACAAATAATAACTGCACAAAAAAGCATAAAAAGCTCCTTCAATCAACGCTAAAAGCAACAAAAATGTCTTAGTACGCCACCTAAATACGTACATAAACGGAACACGTCTGGCTGTTGCTAGCCATCGCGCGTCGACGAGAACGGCGGGTGACGTCAGACCAATAGAATATCGTTTCAATTCGCGAGGCGTCGTTTGCGTTTTCCATAGTATTTTAATGGCCCGTTTTATAAAATTGTGGTACTGCTTTCAAGAAAATTTTTTTTTGCATTTACACATATTTATTCTAATAAATTGAACAGTTTCTGGCGAAAAATAAAATATATGCATCTTCCTCATTGAAACTACTAATTTATTCCACTGATTTCGAGTAGTATTATTAGAGAATTACTCGTGGTAAACATTAAATATTTTTTTTTAAATTCAAAATACTTTTGTCCATATACATTATGTGTCCAATATGTATTCTTGTGTTTTAATATATCACAATTGTTTTCCTATTGGATAATTGTACTTATTGGATATTGTCCTTCAACTTGTACTGAAACCGTAACCTATCGGTTAAAGTAATATGTATTAATTTTGTGTCAACTTTTCAGGTGGGTGACAAAGTTGAAAAAGGAACACCTATTATCATTCTTTCCGCAATGAAAATGGAAACTGTCGTTCAAAGTCCTGTTGCTGGTGTAGTAAAATCAATTAGCGCCAAGATGGCCATGAAACTAGAAGCCGAAGACTTACTAATTACTGTAGAATAAGGTAGACTACAACGTGCATCATCAGGGAAAATTTCAGGCTGTGCATTGGGCATACCGGTACAAAATTTATTTTTATTTAAAAAAAAGTCCATAGAAAAAAGAAGTCTCGATATAATTCCTTATTTTTTTTATTTATCTAATATCAATCTGATTTTGACCCTAGCCGATATAACTGTTAAACAGACAGATCAATATTACTATCGTTTGATCGAAAAAAAAATGGCGTCAAGATGGCTTGGAAATGAATATCGATGACATTCCCCATATAAGTTTACATATAAAATGGCATCGATCTTCATTTTATAGCCATCGCTGACGCCGTTTTTTTCCGATCATACGGTATTTAAGGTATTGAAAGTGTCAGATGAGTTTCTGAATAGTTTTAATGGTTGGTTTATTAAAGACATTTCTAATTTCAGGCACTTAAAATAGGTAGGAAATAAATATTTAAAATATATTTTTCAAATATACAATTTTTGTTATATTTTTCAATGTTATTGTTATGTTTTCTATAAGAATTCCATTTTATATAATATATTTTTTAAACAAAACACAGACGGATTTTAATACTTTCAATCCTTTGCATTTATAAACTTAAACATAATTTCATCATTTTTATTATTTAATACTATCATTTAGTTTTATTGCTTCATGTATTTACAACCATAATATCACATCATATCACATCAATGATTCCAAGTTTGATAGGTATATTTGCTTCGCATTTATCAGATACATCATCAGTACTTTCAAGTGCCACAGCTTTTTTATAATATTCTTCTGCCTTTTTGGATAGAAATAATATATTATCATCGTATTATTCTGAGACCAGCACAAATCAAAAATACTACTGCAGCATATTTCATCACTAACAAAATATAACAAAATTAGTTTTTAATATTTCGTTTTCCCATTTTTCTCACGTGTTATTGCATCATCGGACCTCATAATTTACTTCATAAGAGATTTTGAATAGAGATATGACAATGCCAAAGTATTTTGAATATTTACAGGTGTACTTAATTGTTGGACCTTTAGATATTGCAAAGTGACGCATAGGTATACCGGGGCGTCTCAAAAGTGGCTCACCCCTATAACTTTTTTATTTTTTTAGATAAAAAGTTCAGATTTGGCATATTAGTATATGACATAAATAAGGATTGATTGACGTATTCAATTGTTTTCGGTCACTTCCTGTTTCACCGGAAATGACTACAACTTTTGATTTTTAAATGGCACCCTCAGTATTTTTTTACTTTATTCGATAGAAAATGACATTCTGAATAGAATGACATATCATATATCAACTTTTGACATTTTCGAATATGGTTTATTTGAAATTGCAACATGCGATTCACGACAATTTGACTCGAAATACCAAGTGTGTGGTATCAAATTATTCATAAAAAATGCTTCTTACAAATATGGTAATGAGCCACCCTCGTTCCATTTGAAAAAATTGAGTTATGATTAAAAATACGATTTGGGCATCTTTTAACCGGCCAGGACAAGACACGAAAAACATTAGACAATGAAATATATTTTTCCAAGGCTCCTTGATTAAAAATTAGTGTTTTTAACACAGCCATGACACTCTAAATTGACATTTAAAATTCAATTTTGTTTTAAGTGAAAATGTCAAAAGTTGACATATGATATGTTATTCTATTCAGAATGTCATTTTCTATGGAATGAAGTAAAAAAATACCGACGCACAGTGGGCAAAAATCCAGAAATATGTTGCAAAAATTCTTTTTTTGTACGATTTCATTCAATTTTGGTAAAAACATTCTATGCCAGTAGCCCGTGAACCCAGTTAGTTTTGGCTGACTTGAGAGTGGTTGGGGGTGGTGGGGGGATTCATAAAATCATCTTTTGACTAATACAGCTACCAAAATCCGGTAAGAATATTTTACATTTCACTAAATTTTACGATTTTTGGCAGAGCCAAGATGAAACAGACAAATATTGAGCAATTTTTACTCCTCCGGCATATACAGGGTTTGTTATATATACCTATTGACATCCTCTGTATCTTTTTTATTCGACGTTTTCGAAAAAATTGTCTTGAATAAAAGTTTAATGGTCTCGAATACATTTTTCAAAACAGTCTTCTTTGCATATACAGGGTGCCTTAGAAATCCTGTGCGTGGCCGCAACTTTCTTATTTCAAATTAGTACCTAATTTTTTATTTGATTTTTATTTTCTCTTGCTAAAAATCCTAACGACTTTTATGCAGCATAACCTATACCTAATTTGAAATAAGATAGTTGAACCACGCCCAGACTTTTTGAAGCACTTTGTATATGCAGAATAGACTGTTTTGGCAAATTTATTCTAAACCACTTTCATTTGAGACAGTTTTCGGAAACGGTAAATAAAGAAGATAAAGGGGGTGTCATTGTATAAAAGAAAACCCTACATTATTAATTTAGTTAGTCTGATGTGTGATGTATTCGCCTAAATGCATTTTTTTGTAAAGTAATATCCATTATATCTGGTCACCCCTCTTAAATGAATTATTGTTAAATTGCTATAATAGCTAGGAATACCTATAGTTGTCGCGGAGTGATATTACCCGTGCATCACAATATGGTTACCAATAAAACTCATAAGAATCCTCTACATGATGCCATGCGTAATGTCACAATGAGATAACAGGAATTCCTAAATTAAATAAAATACCCCGTATATGATATATTTAAATAGCATTTTTCCTTCTGATTTTGAAATGCTTACTTTGCTATCACTATTTTTAACCATTGGCCATTAAAATTGTAATATTTCCCACAAAAGATTGCTTACTATTTACTGATATTTTGTTTTATAACAGTTGGAAGCAATGGTCACAAAGTGCACTTAAATCTGAAAGAAAAATCCATTTCATTTAATTTAAAAACTTAGGTACTGTCAAAATTTGTCAATTTGTCAAAAAATGTCATTTGACATTTATGACATACCTCTTTGGAAATCTTGAGAAAAATTACGTAACTTTTTTATTTCAAGTTCTTCTCTAGCTACTATAACAATTAATTTATGAGAAGTATCCACATAAAGGATCTTACTATACACATACCCATGGAGGCTTACGCTTCCAATAAATTTAATGTTGCGATTTTTTGCGATTTTTTTGACTTAACTTTTCTAAGATAGAATATATGCCACTATTAAAAAAACCTTAAATAATTATGTTCTACTTTGACCTTTACCTAGTTTTAATCCAAAAAATCAAAATAAAAGATACTTTTTTATACTTACCTTAACAATAAATTTATCGCAACCGGGAATCTACGTAAAACACGTTATGACAATTTCACAATAATTATTGACAGCAAGCTAAGATTGTCCGATTCAATTGTTATAATACTGCGTCACTTGAATGCAATGCCTACTATTTAAAAACTTGTAGAAAAAAAGGCTTATTGGACACATATTAACTGAAAATGTAGGTTTTGCGCAAAGTTCGTTTTACAGCCCCTCGAAAGAGACTCCGAATATGTTTTTTTGTTAGTTTTATGTGGTTTTCTCTTAACTAATATGTTTCCAATCTAATGTTATTGCCATAAATGCTAACTCTGGATGTTATTTTTTGCAACTTGGTTTGGACATATTGCCTACTGTGCGACGGTGCCATTTAAAAATCAAAAGTTGTAGTCATTTCCGGTGAAACAGGAAGTGACCGAAAAGAATTTAATACGTCAATCAATCCTAATTTATGTCATATACTAATAGCATGCCAAATCTCGTTTTTTTATCTGAAAAAATAAAAAAGTTATAGGGGGTGGCCACTTTTGAGACGCACCCGGTATAATAAAAAATTAAAGTAAACAGGTAAAAAGTCGTTCAACGTTACGTAATACATTTATCATACTCTTTTATTCATTCCACGTAGACACGGGATAGACTGCAGAAATAATTACGGTATTACGTAGATCACTGCACATTTGGTTTTAGTAACTGTCATTTCACCTTTGTGCTTGTTCTGCTGGGGGATATCTTATCGTCAAGCAAGAAAATTTATTTGTCATAGCGAATCACTCCTAGACATATAGATACCGACCCAAGATTGTCTCTTGCCAATATGGTATAATTGATAGGCTGTGCTAAGGACTGTTCAGTCATCGTTCACCGTTACGTCATCACTATTTGTCAAATATGAGTTTTTGGGTGTGTCTGAGATCAGTTCATATTGTTTAGAAAAAATATATATAATTTAAGTACGTTCCTATATTATTGATTGAGCGAGTTCCATTTTTCGGCATTTATTCTTTTTTTTCTTGAACTCTTCATCAGTTATGATCCTTTTAATTCCAATCTTTTGGACTGTTGAAATTTCTATTTCTAAAGCATCAGCAACTCACTAAGTATATTATTTTAAAACGCTATCAATTTGTATTTTATATAGAATATTACTCCTTTGCATTTACTTTCGTATGCAGCTATGTTGGGCCACGGCCTATGACGAGACGTTGAACGATGGCCGAACATTCTATACACGGGATATTAGATAATGCTACTACTGCCACTACTCGTTGACGAATATTCGACACGCATCAAAAGATGGTCACGCAAGGCGTTTTCTTTCATGACCTTTTTTGTGGCTGAAAAGCCCGATACGTGATGTTATCTCCCAACCGCACTCCGGACATTCAACATTGACACACAATCTCATTGCTTTGTTGCCTCTTTACTTCTTGATTGTCGCCGTTAACTGAGTACAATTCTTCTCCATTGAGTTCTATTATGAGCTGCTTCTTCCCACTCATTCTGCATGTTAATTCCCTTTAAGTTTTCGTGGAAAATGTCCTTGTACCTTTTCAGTTGTCCACCCGGCCCCCTCTTACCGTCTACAAGCTCACCGTAGCTTTTGGTATGCGGTTTTCTTTCATTCTGCATACGTGACCAGCCCATCTTAAGCGGGATTTCGTAACCGTGACTTCAATACTCTCGCAGTTAGATTTTTCAAGGACCGATACGTTTGAGACATGATGGAACCACCGGATTTTTAAGAGTTGTCTAAGGTGTCTCTGTTGCAACTTGTTTAATGCGTTCATGTGTCGGCGATACGGCACCCAGGCTTCGCTCCCATCTAACATGGTGGGGATTATAATTGCTTGGTACACTGCAAGTTTTGTTTTTGTACTCAAGTCATGATTGTAGAAAACCCTGTCTTTTAATTTCCAGAATGCTCTTGAGACGTTTTATTGTACAAACTACAATAAAAAAAATGAACAGTGATTCTTATGTGATATGCGGTCTAACCTGATCTCTAACCGGCGTGATCAGGTTAGACCATAGGGAGTACCCCTCTATGAATTTTAAACTCTTACCCTTAAAAAACCGTAGAAACGCTCACGTCGCCTAATGTCGCCTAACGCAACTTTGGCAATCGACGGGGAACCGGTGTAAGTTGTACGAGCTTTTTTTTAAATAGTTTTAATGTTAAGCCGAGAACAGACGTGACGAATGTTACCATTCGTTCGCAATGTTTGTATTGCAGCCATTCACGCGACAACATATAAAATAATTAGAAAATAAGTATTTATTGAAAAATTTTTATTATCATTTTCAGCCATATTGTTATTATTATTATACTTAGGTAATAGCAATGTTCATTTTAATTTCTTTACGTATTTACAACCATAGTATACAACACCACAGAAAATACCAAATTTGATTACTGAAAAAAATATTCTTTGAATTTTAACAGATATTATACAGTTTTAAAACTTACGAGTGCCAAAAAAGCTTCTTTTTTTACAGTCTTCCGCCATTTTCCAGTCAAATTATTATTATCTTATCACATTAATACCAACACAAATCAAAACTACTATAGCAACTATTTTCAGAACTAAAAAAGTTAAATATAATTGATTATACCTTTTCTTTGTTTCTAAATTAACTCACTTGAAATTATATCATCGGTGGTCATAGTTTAGTTCACTAGAAATTTTGAAAATAATGTATGACCATTGTATGACAATGAAATATTTTAAATATTGACAGTTGTAGTTAATTGTTGGGGCTTGATATTGCAAAGTGAAGCATAGGTAATTAAAATTAAAGTAAACAGGTAAAGTCGTTCAATGTTACGTTATATACCGGGTGCGTCTCAAAAGTGGCTCAGTCTTATAACTTTTTAATATTTTTTTAGATAAAAAACGAGATTTGGTTTGTTAGTATATGACATAAATTAGGATTGATTGACGTATTCAATTGTTTATGGTCACTTCCTGTTTCGGAAATGGCTACAACTTTTGATTTTTAAATGGCACTCCCGGTGTATTTTTACTTCATTCGAGAGAAAATGACACTCTGAATAGAATGACTTTTGACATTTTCGCTTAAAAAAATCATATTTTAAATTTCAATCTAGAGTGCCATGGATGTTAAAAACACTAATTTTTAATCACGAAACCTTGAAAAAAATAGATTTGATCGTTTAATGTTTTTCGTGTCTTGTCCGGGCCCGTTATAAGATGCCCAAATCGTATTTTTAATCATATTTCATTTCATATCAATTTTTTCAAACGGGACAAGGGTGGCTCATTAGCATATTTGGAAAAAGCATTTTTTTACGAATAATTTATTACCGCACACATGAACCGCATGTTACAATTTCAAATAAACTATATGCAAAAATTTCAAAAATTGACATTTGATATGTCATTCTATTCAGAGTGTTATTTTCCATCGAAAATGTAAAAAACATACCGGGGGTGTAATTTAAATATCAAAAGTTGTAGTCATTTCCGGTGAAACAGGAAGTGACCAAAACCAATTGAATACGTCAATCAATCTTAATTTATGTTATATACTAACATACCAAATCTCGTTTTTTATCTGAAAAAATAAAAAAGTTATAGGAGCGAGCCACTTTTGAGACGCACATCATCAGGTGATATAGTAGTCTAAAGCGGCCCATACATTATCAAACAAATTGCGCAACGAAGCGATGCGCAACGTTGCGTTGCACAACTGATTCAGCGGTCCATACACTATCGAACAAGTTGCGCGACAAGGCGATGCGCAACGTTCCGTTGCACAACTGCCTCATCCATGCACTTAGTAAAATTTTGATCAAACTGTTTATTAAAAGTTGTGCATTGTTTGAGAAACAATCATGTCCTCAATTGCCATTGCTTCAATTATTATCGTATATGCCCTAGATGATGTCGATGATACCAAAAAACGAAAAAGAAAACAAAGAATTTGGATGAAAGAACTAAAATATTGCACAACGAAGCGCAACACACACATACACTACACAACGCGTTGCGCAAACAGTCCTGTTGCACAAAAGAATTCAAACATTCTTGAAACTCATCAAACAATTACGCAACGCATCAAACACTACCATACATTGGCAACTCGTTGCGCAACGGTCTGCGTTGCGCAATTTGTTTGATAATGTATGGGCCGCTTAAGAGCTAGCAACGTTTTCGAGAAAGTATTTTAAGACGTCTGGCTCTTTGATATCTCTTTTACTATGCTCTCTGGAACAGCATGCCGATACCCGTTGCGTTCACTACTGCGCATCGGAAGAAGATCCTATATTTTTTATTAATTTAGTCCTATAAATTCTAGTATTGAATATAAATCGAACATGTCTCCATAGCGCAGTGCGTAGAGTTTCCGACCACGAACCGTTGATTCAGAGTTCGAATCCGGGTCAGGTCAAAGACTTTTTTATTTTATTTTCGTTTATATTCTGATAGTAAAGTATTAAATAATTCTGGTAATTAAAAAAAAACAAATATTTAATACCGTAAAATGGGGTGAACAGAAACAGTTTCGTAGGCTATTAGCGATATACCAGTTGATAAAAATGTGGTATTATGTTCCCGAATATTTTAAAACATGGGTCTTTGTTTGTTCTTTGCGTATACATATAATTTGATTTTTGAAAAATATGCATATAAATATTACATAAAAATAACTTTTGTGTTTCTATTCACCTGCTATTCGGGAGAATAGAAACACACATTGATGTTAAGGTTTTTATCTATTCTATTTCCAACAAGGTGATTAGAAACAGATAATTATTACATATTTAAGAAGGTTTAGCAATAATTAACAATACATATAATATAACAACTTACATGTACCAGCTTAAGTATTACTTTAAAAATAAATATTTTATTTATAAAGTTTTCGCGCCATACAAAATAGGTGATAAATCGATCTCACATTTATTGATCAGCTGATTGACAGAAACAGTGCTGCCACAGATAAAAATATAGTTTTTACATTTTATTGTGTATTACCAATGATAGAAAAATTAGATATGTCGACTCTTTTTACTTTGAATATTTTTAATCGTGATTTGATTTTTTTCAGAAATTTTGTTTCTATTCACCCCTATGTTTCTATTCACCCCATTTTACGGTACTTTACTATCAGAATATAAACAAAAATAAAATAAAAAAAGTTTTTGTCCTGACCCGGATTCGAACTCTGAATCATCGATTCGTGGTCGGAAACTCTACGCACTGCGCTTTAGAGACATGTTCGATTTATATTCAATACTAGAATTTAAAGGACTAATAAAAATATAGAATCTTTTTTCAATGCGCAGTAGGGAACGCAACGTTTACCCGCAGCCAGACTGGCCGCATGCTGTTATAGAGAGCATAGTAAAAGATATATCAAAGAGCCAGACGTCTTAAAATACTTGTTTTTCCGACGTTGCTAGCTCTCGTACTATACCTAGGTACCATAATAAATGGTAAATATAGTATAACGTAATTTGAGTTTAAATATATTTTATTTCATAGTTAGATAAATAGAGTAGTATTTCATTTTATTTCTTCATGCATTTAATATCCTACCAGAGCCAAATAATCTCTTCGAAAAGTTCTTCTATCATTTATCAATAATTTGTATTATTGTGCCTTTATCAGATTAATTCCAACACAAATCAAAATTACTATTGCAACAATTTTTCCAACTAAAAACAAAATAAAGTAGGTATAATTACCTAAGTTATTTTTTCTAAATTATCTTACTTGCAATTAAATCGTCGTTGGTCATACTTTAGTTCACAAGAAATTTTGAAAAAAATGACAATGAAATATTTTGAATATTGACAGCTGTAGTTCATTATTGTAATGTTTCACGGAGCATTGTAGGTAACAAACATCAGGTAAAATATTATAAGCAAAAAGCAAACCTCATTTTGGCATGTAAAATGGTTTTTGACCATTGAATTTGACGTTATTATAGAGCACCTGTAATACATAGTTATTTGACAAAGCACAGTAAAAATTATAGCAGTAAAATTATCAGTTACAAGTTGGAAAGTAGAAAATAAGATATAAAACCACGTTAAATAAAATTGCCAAACGAAAAATAGAAGAAGGAATGTATTCATTTTAATAAGCAATCCTTTACATTTAGAAACATAAAATAACAGTTTTTTTAAGTTATTTATTTTTATTTCTTTGCATTTTAATGATTCTAATATAGGCTGTCTAAAAGTCTTCTGCTATTTTCCATAGAAATTATTATCATTTTAATACCAAAACAAATCAAAACAATTTTCTCAACTACAAAACAAAACAGAATAATTGAAAGTTTTTTTGTTTCTAAATTATCTCACTTGCAACTACATCGTTGAGGTTTATAATATAATTCATAAGAAATTTCAAAAAAATTACGGAAAAATATTGGTAGCTGGGGGGGGGTTAATTGTTAGGCTCGATATTGCCTTAATACGTAGCATTTGGGTAAACACCTGTGGAACATGATCTTACTCTTATTTCTAATACGTGTCACAGTTTTTGTTACCATACTCCCCCGAAACGGCTTGACCGAATTTTATATGTATATTCAGTAGATTTGAGAATAGGTTGTTACCTATTTTTTGAGGTAAAGCTTAAGGTATAATAATTTATTTTATTTTTAACTACGTCCTTAGAACTTATAGTTCAATACACTGGGAATATAAAAAAATTGTGTCAATGAATATTTTGAAGGAGCGTAGGTAATAATGAAACAACAACCAAGTTTAGCACATAAAATCTATTTAGACATTAACATTATTATGAAACACATGTAATACATGATTTTTAGACAAATATAAAGAACAGTAAAATTATCAAAGGCACAAGTTGGAAAATACAAAATATCAAGATTTTAAACTACTTTAAATAAAATACAAAAACATTACATCAACTGAAAAGAAAACTTTGGAATGTATCCCAAGGACTCCTTGAGATCTGTTTATTAAGTATAAACCATTTTTGATTAATATTAAAAAATCAAAGGGCTTTGTAAATTGGTTGAATTAAAAAGAATATACAAGTTTGGTAATGAACCATACTTAAACCCCTTTGATTTTTTAGTTTTAATATATACGTATCAAATTTATGAAGGGTAACTAACAAATTTTGTTTTTAAAATGTGTAAAAAATACACACGATTTAGAATAAGAAGTAAAAATTGTTAAGTCCCAGATTAATTCACTATGGATCTTTACCATAAGCAAGTATATTATAGTTTATTTGTATTAAGTACAATGACTAGATCAGCTGCTTATGGGAAAGAAGTATGAGACAGTAGACAACGAACAGATACAACTGGAAATATAAAATTTAAACTATAGTAGGCCGTATTTCAACATTCCCTTTTACATTGTAAAGTGTGATGACTGAACTAAACCGTATAGGTCTATGCTATATACTGTATATATACTCTTTCGAACACTTGTAGAGAGCTCAAGACATTTAAAATAGCCCTAAAGAAATAATATACAGATTAGATAATCTTAGTAAGAACACAATGAATGTCATAACTGATTAAGGTACGATTCTCCTTTCTATTATCTGATTTGGAATAAACTAAACTCAATATCTACGACATCAGTAAGTTTTTAAATAAATTAGAAACGATAATTTCTCAACTACAAGTGCCAATATTACAATAGAACCATTTTTAACTAAATTTCTCTATAACAATTAATTAACAATTACTATTACTGCAGTAACGGGATACTATTTCATTAATTTAGCAACTTTTCAAAACAAAATTTTAATTATCATTATATCCTACAGACAAGCCTTTCAGTCTCTATATGGATGAATACGATTAAGTTATAGAAGGTGTGAATAAAGAAAAGACATTGTGACATTGCTTGATGTTAAAAACGGAAAACCTAGATTTGTTAGTTAGAAATAATGCGTCATGGAAAAAAGGCTTCTACAATGGCGATGAGTCAGGATATGAATTGAAACTGAAAACACCAACACCTAATAAAAATTATGTAGTACCTCGTTCCCATCTCCTAGGTATCACATCTGCTTTCCAACGATTTGTAATTGTTACCAACATTTACTTATAATCATTTAATATCGAGGAATGAACGGCATAAACGTATTTGAGGTTAAATGCCCATCGTACAGAAGGTGTAGGTACTATGGCATTTTCTGGTTCAACTGTAAAAATTAAATCTTTTATGAAAACAAAATAGAAACAAGCGCGAAAGTATTTTTATTAGACGCATTTGTAGGTTTTGGAATAATTCTATTTTCCATTTTTAACGAAGTCTTTAGTATTTTAAAAAATAAATATTTACTAGGTTGCTACTGTGTAGAATAAATCTAGAAAATCAGCCCAATTTGGTTTCAAAAATCAAATAAAAACGAAATTATATTCTTATATTATCGTTAGACTATACGAATTATACATTACTTATACTACACTTCTTACTTTATAATCTAGCTTGACTAGATGAGTATTTTACTTTACAATCTAAATATTGTATTTTTTTGGTTACTTTATCCTCCATTTTTTCTGAAATCTACAACTATATCTATAGGTACTCTCTAAGTTTCAATTTTGGTTTACTCTTACTGTAAGAGTTTTACATACATTTGATAGGCAAACAAATAATTTTATTTCATTTTAGGTGGATGCACCGACATAAATTTTTTAGTGGCAATCCAGAGGTATTTTATACAGGGTGAGTTTTAAATAAGTGCAAATATTTTTTATGGGTAGTATATTTCGACCCCAGAAACATGATTATGAGGTTTTTTTCACGATTTTTTTTTATTTTTTGAAGTTTTGTTATTTTTTTTGGAAGTTTTAGTTAAAAACCATAATTTCTTGATAATATGGCAACATAGGTAGTAGATCAAATTTACAAGAAAGAGAAGCTAGAAAAGATCCAGTGGTTCTCAAAATTTAAGCAAAAAATATTTTTTTTTGGAAATTCTTAAAGTAAAATAATTCGGTTATTTTGGATTATACCGGGTGTGTCTCAAAAGTGGCTCACCCCTATAACTTTTTTATTTTTTCAGTTAAAAAAACGAGATTTGGTATGTTAGTATATGACATAAATTAGGATTGATTGACGTATTCAGTTGTTTTCGGTCGCTTCCTGTTTCAGCGGTAATGACTAAACTTTTGATTTTTAAGTGGCATCCTCGGGATTGTTTTACTTTATTCGATAGAAAATTACATTCTGAATAGAATGACATCATATGTCAATTTTTGACATTTTCACATATGGTTAATTTGAAATTGTAACATGCGATTCATCACGAAAATTTGACTCGAAATACCAAGTGTGTGTTATCAAATTATTCGTAAAAAAATGCTTTTTCTAAATATGCTAATGAGCCACCTTCGTTTCATTTGAAAAAATTGAGATATGATTAAAATACGATTTGGGCATCTTTTAACCGGCCAGGACAAGACACTTTAAACGATCAAATCTATTTTTCCAAGAGTCCTTGATTAAAAATTAGTGTTTTTAACATAGCCATGGCACTCTAGATTGAAATTTAAAGTACAATTTGTTTTTAAGCGAATATGTCAAAAGTTTACATATGATATGTCATTCAATTCAGAGTGATATTTTCTATCGAATAAAGTAAAAAAATATCGAGAGTGCCATTTAAAAATCAAAAGTTGTAGTCATTTCCGGTGAAGTGACCGAAAACAATTGAATATGTCAATCAATCCTAATTTATGTCATGTACTAACCTACCAAATCTCGTTTTTTATCTGAAAAAATAAAAAAGTTATAGGTGTGAGCCACTTTCGAGACGCACAAATATTTGCATTTATTTAAGATTCACCCTATATAGTAATTTTGAATGTTTGTAATTCGACTAATTAATGAAGGAAACCGGCTCTACTAAAAAAATAGTCCCACTGAGTAATATTCAGGTATTATAATTGGTGTATCATACCGTCTAAAATTTACCTCTAATTTTTACAAACTTTCTAAAAGATTGTCGTATGCTAAAATTCTTTAGTCGTTTGCCTATCGTTTTTTATAAAATACGATTTTCTAAAGTGAAAAATTTGCTTGACGACTACATAAAGTGGTACAATTAGGCTTTGAACACTGAGTATGGAACATACCGGAAGGATAATTAAATAGAAACGCCAAATTGGTGGAACTACTTCAATATAAATATCAAACTGGATCATTCACTATTATTTGTTCCAGATCAAAAACAACCTTAAAATGCAACGCATATTATATTTGGCACAGTTACTTAGACTAAAAAAATGTCTTTTAGGCCACTAAAAATTAATTTAATTTAAAGAAACATAATATGTTCTACAATAATTTATATTCAACGATTACTTTTTAAAACACCCAATTATATTATTTCAATGGGGAAAAAAGGATAATTCTCACAGACAAATCACCATAATATTTACACACATCTCAAATTAATACGATATACAGTAGTAAAGGAATTAACTTAACATAAAAAGTTAAGCAAAAATATCACTTAAATGTCTCTTGTTTCGCTAACTTCTACTATCACAATGAAACGACGAAAAACATCAACTGTCTAATGTTTCTTACTCTATTGACAGGTAGGTTACAAAACTACACATTAAGATAGTATGAATGCCTTTTTATTAAATGCATATATAAATATCTTTTATTTTGTTAAACAACTAGTACTGAAGTGGGGGAATTAGTTAATTTATTAACCCTCTCTTTAATGTTATAGATATTAACAAATTATTGAGAAGCTCAAAGAAATACTATTTTGCCAATAATTATAAAAACACTGGAATTTAGAGATCCTTAATTTTCAGTAAGTAATGTAGATGTCAATGGATATCCACTTCGCGAACTGGTTGGTTTCAGTTCGCGAAGTGGATATCCATTTCATGAAACGGACAATTACACTAAGTGGGTACGACATAGGCATTGCTATAACACCCTAAACGAAAGTTTAAACTGCATAATTTTATTGTATATGATAATAAAATAATAAATCATTTGATAATTTAATTATAGACTTTTTGTTTTAGACAAGATTAGATAGGATTAATAAAATTAACCTAATAAAACAAGAAATATATATACGCAATCGCCACAACGTTCAAGAAAGGGGTGAAATATATAGGGCATCCTTACATTAGTTTGCCTTAGAAGTTTAAAGCACATATACAGGGTGTTCCGAACTGTATTCCGAAAACTTCGGCAGCATATTCTGAAGATCAAAATATGTAAAAAATTAACCTAAATTGCTTAGTTTCGGAGATACAGGGTGTAGAACTTTCATTTTTATTTCGATTTTTTGATTTTCGATATTTGAACAAAATTGGTGTCTGGGAGTTTTTTGACATGAGAAATATGGTTTTGATATCAATATGACTCCTACTTGTAGAGGGCACCACCTACATATTTTTTAACTGGTTTGAAGAGTCATAACTTTTCGTATAAAACTACTTAGTAAAAAAAATTCTGTCATCACTGATATAAATTAAACATGTTTACTACATAGTTATTAGATTGAAATCATAAATCTGAAATGTTTTTGGGTCAAACGTTCAACGGAAACTATTTTATCATAATTTTTTTGCAGAAAAATTTATGATGAATTTAAAAAAATAAAAATTTCACAAATTTATTATTTCAGTCAAATCACTATTTACTCATCGTGTTTATTTTTTGTCAATGACTAATCTAAGAACGAACTATGTTAAGAACGGTTGCCCGCAGCGATTTTTACCAAGAGATATTTTTTACGTAAAAAGTCACGGAGATGTATATTTTCTTACTGAGTAGTTTTATACATCTACGGATAGAAAGTCATTAAAAATGTTCTGTTCAAAACAGTTAAAACACATATAGGTGGCGCCTCCTACAAATAGGAGTCATATTGACATCAAAATCAAATTTCTCATATCAAAAAACTCCCACACACCAGTTTTAATCCAAATATTGACGTTACTTCAGCAGTTATTTGGGAAAAATCGAAATAAAGTTGAAAATTTCTATACCCTGTATCTACGAAACTAAGCATTTTAGGACATACATTTATACGAACTTTTTTACTTATATTTATCTGCAGAATATGCTGCCGAAGTTTCCGGAATACAGTTCGGACCACTCTGTATAGTTTTTTAACCATTTTTTTAGCAAATGGGATTGCATTTAAAGTTGAAAATTCAAAAACGACAACTGCAGTTCAAATCAGAGAAGTTCAACAATACAAATGTGTTGTTAGTTTTTCAGATGGCACTACAGTCTATAAAATTTTTGAAAAACATTTTCTGCTGGAATTCAAATTACAGCACTGAAAAGAAATCTGTAGTTCTTAGTTTTTGAGATCTAACTTTAACTCTAATTTTAAATATCTTTTATGCCTCAGTGTGCTTCCGTTCAAAGTTTTGAATTGAAAAAGTTTAACTGTATCAGAGAAGCATAATAAAACAAGTGTAGTTGTTAGTTTTTGTGATGGCTGTTTTGTGATTAAGAAATTAAAAACATTTTCTGTGGGAATTAAAACTACAGTGCTGAAAAGAAAACCGTAGTTCTTAGTTTTTGAGACGTAACTTCCGTTCAAAATCTTGAATAGAAAAAATTCCACTGTAGTTGTCTTAATAACCTTAATTAAAAAAATACATTTTTTGCTAGAATTCAAATTACAGCACTGAAAAGAAAACTGTAGTTCTTAGTTTTTGAGATGTAACTATAATTCTAATTATAAGTAATTTTTACGCTTGAATGTATTGTGAAGTTAGTTATTACAATTACGTATATATACCTTTTTGCCGCTGTAAATATTTAACACACAATATATTAATACTGCCTATGCTTGAGACTAAAATCCCTACGATCGCCAGTTCTGTCACCTACCAAGTATATAGTAGCTCTATACTTAAGTTATCTAAGTATACCTACTAAATACCAAATACTATTTAAGAGTGTTCCTCTTTTTTTCCTTAGTAGTTGATTGTCGTAATTTACTCATAAAAACTGACTAAACGTCAATCAATGGTTCATGCTTCCAGTATCAGTCTTAACGTATACCTCAAACATTATGTTTTAAGAATATAAAAAATGGTAGTTTTCAAAACATTGAGAAATAGGAAAACTATTAAAGGAATTTTAAATTTAGATCTATAAAAATTATTGTATATAAATATTTAATCAATTATTATTAATTTATTAGATATTTTAGAGATATTTGATTTTAAATAAGTAATGTAAACATTGTGTGTGTGATAATGCTACACATCTCAACTCAGTACCATCTTACCTGTTACGCTTATTATCGTAAATGGTCTGTGATAATACTCTTGATGTTAATACCTGCATAATTCTACTGTATATGATACTCATATGATAAGTTAGCTACTATACATATGAAGATAGTTTTAGAATTCGGTAGCGTAATATCTACATGTATCTCTATATATACAGGGTGAGTCTTAAATAAGTGCAAATATTTTCAGGGGTCATTTCGACCCCAGGAACTCGTCTGAGGTTTTTTTCGCAAAAAAAAGATGTTGAAAATCGTGCATTTTCTTTTAAATTTCCCTGTATATTTTCGCGAAAACTTTTTAGAACTGCCTGTTCACCGCAAATTTTCCCACGGTATAATTTCTTAATCTCTAATATTACCATAGTTACGGCTTTACTCTATGGTTACGGCATTAAAAAGAATGCAAATACAGAAAAAATCCGGTGGCTCTCAAATTTAAAAAAAAATCAATTTTTTTTAAATTTTCAAACTTAAATAACTCTGTTATTTTGGACTTATCTGAAAAATGGTAAAGAGAAAATATGGTTCTTTTATCGAGATCTACCAGCCCTGAAAATATTTGCACTAATTTAAGACTCACCCCTGCGCATTGAAAGAAAGTCATATATTTTTTTATTTAGTCCATTAAATTCTAAATACCTTTATAGGCGGAACGTTTTCGCGCCGCGCTATGGAGACTTGTTCGATTTATATTCAATATTAGAATTTAAAGGACTAAATAAAAATGTGGGGAACTTTTTTCAATGCGCAGTAGTGAACGCAACGTCTATCGGCAGCCAGACGACTCGCACGCTGTTCTAAAGAGCATAGTAAAAGATATATCAAAGAACCAGTTTTCTTAAAATACTTGTTTTCCAGACGTTGCTAGCTCTCGAACTATGAAACGAGGTAAACAGAAAAACGTTAGGTGTGATTTTTGTTAATTATACTTTGTTTATTGAAAGATTTATGAATTCTCGCAACTAGTGGAATAAATTAGTGATTTCAATTAACGTAGAAGTTTGTTCCTTTAATTTCAATGTAAGCATTCAGAACGTCAAAATTAGTGGTAGACATTTTCAATTAGTAGGAAAAGTTATCAAACTTTTAACTTTTCCACTAATTATACTTCAAAATTTGCTAGAGAAATCTCATTCTGGCCTTTGATTATCTTCCGTTAAGAGAAATTGTGGTTAGAAATCAAAAGTTGATTGTTGATTGTTTTATAAGTTGAATATTGACTTTCTCTATGGATACAACTGACTAATGCAAGCTGTTGCTATGATATTCTGTTAATTTTAATTGTATATTTTAAACATTGTGAATGATCGTAAACTAAAAAGTATAAAGTGTAATTGAAACCAGGTAATTGAGGCTTAAAGCTTCATTCAGAACCTTTTCTGCTTTTTTTTTCTTAAAGTAATGGTCAAAAAGGTAAAAACTGGCAGCCCTGCAAGCAATGACTTCGTAATTTTAGAGCCTTGTCTGTTGTACATGTATATGGATGGCTAAGACATGATCTGTGATCTGGCCAAGACAATCAAAAATATACACGAGTAATAACAGTAATAAAAAAATAATTTGCTTTCAAAAATCAAAACTATAATACAAGGTATTATATCTTTGATACAATACCTTGTGTGTCATATTAAGGACCAAATTAAACCTGATACCTGAAGCATGAACCACATGTAAGTCCGTGCCAATGGCGCGACGCTTTCGTCTTAAAAACAGTCAACTCGATATTGCGACCATTGCAAAAAAAATCTTTTTTCAACACGGGGATCGAAAGCCACGGTATATAGATACAGAGACACACAGCAAAAGAGATAGAGTAGAACTCTATAGGGCCTCCCGGTCCTCTAACGAGGACGGTGCAGAAATTTCACAAAGACCATAGCGATTCCGTTCGTGGAAAGTTTATATCACTATGCCGCTGGACTCACCGTCTACTCTTGCGAGACGAGTGTCGAACTCTTTATTTAGAGCTGTTTTGGCCTGAAAAAAGATAAAAATGTCGATTTAGTAAACTAAATTTTGTTCGGATTTCATTTATGCCCGATCAAAACCCGTAAAAAACGCCAACCCGCATAGCTGTTGAGGTAATAAAAATATTTTTTAAGCGTCACAAAAGTATTAGTTTTTGCGACATGATTGAGAATATAAAAAAGTAAAGCACTTTTACTTTTATGCCTAGGCATTTATGAAAAACATGAAAATGTAATAATTGATAGTCCTAAAACTTAAAATGCCTTTCCATGGTATTACAATTTCGATTTCATTCTTCGATAAACCGTTATAATTAATTTTGATTAATGTGACATTTTTTATGTTATTAAAGTATCACATTTTTTCCGATAACTATTATCACCCTTTCCGTAGCATTGAACTAAATAAATTTGGTACTTCATATTTTAAAACAGTTGTTTGTAATTGAGCTGTAATTTCTGTATTATTAATCCGGTAAATGATGGAGATAAACAATTGTGATTGATTAAAATTTTATTTTTAGATGAAACTTTTGTTCACAACATTCTGAGAATTCGAATAATGAATTGAATAATGACTTAACAAGTGACATCTGTCTAAAAAAGACAGCGATTTAGAGAGATAATTTGGTTATGTAAAATTTAGAGTGACAATTTTGATTATGCAAAAGAAATATTGGTTGCTTAACGATTAACATTAATTTAAAAATAAATCCCCAACATGAATAACGAACAAAACATTTAAACAAAAACAAGACTACACAAAACAAATTGTTGGTTAGTAGCTGTTAGTAGTAGTCAGAGATTTCGATGTAGTAGTATTTTGGTTTAATGGCCACAGCTATCCAGCCGGGTAACAGAATTATCGTTTTTTAATAAAAATTAAAAAAACATAAAATTATAAAGCTAGAATAGTATACGGTTTTATATTAACCGTCATTTTTTGAAGTTTATAAAAAACATTCATAAAAAAATAAACTCACCGGCAAAAAAAACCGGCAACTAAAACTAGTCCCAATTTCAAAGTTGGATTTCTCGCGAACCACTCTTTAGATTTTAAAGATTTTTTTTAAATTGTAAATTAATTCCTCCTTAACTGATGCTACGTCGAATTTATTTTGAGCACATACGGGGCACAACAACAACACGATATTTTTTAGCCGAACTTTGAAACACCCTGTAGGGTGCAGCAGCGGTAGTAGCTATTGCTAAATTAAATCATATTGTAGCCTCATCTTTTGTGAGCATTTTGTTTTTTTAATCACCACATTATCTCTTTTTGTATTGGATTATATGCTGTTTTAAAACGAACGTCTCGGAAAAATTCAGAATTCATCTCGGAAAAGGCAGAAAGTTTTATGTATAAATAATCAAGGCAACATAAGAGAAAAGGGATTTATGAGTATTTGCTATATGAGAAAAACGGTTGTCAAATTAAAAAATGCCATTATCTGTAACGGATGTTGCTCGTATTGTGGCTTTAATTGAGGATGGCCGAAGCCAACGTTATGTCTCCGATACCCTGGGTATATTATGAACAACAGTCCAGGATGCCTGGAATCAGTATATGGAAACGGGAAATTTCACCAGGCGAGTGGACACTAGATATTAGTCCCTTAAAACCTTTTTTTTAATTTTCATGTTTTAGTTAGTTTACGTCTTTGAATAAGAAGACTAAGGAAGGAGCATACTGCTATCCATGTATTGATGCATGGTGGCCGGAAAAAGCGCCATAAAAGCACTCTAGGGTGGGGATCCTTGACAGTTCTGTTTGACGATTCATTTGACACATTTGAATTTGATTTGAAATTTTGTGGATTTGTCAGTCTTTACGGAGCTTATTTTATGTTATTTATTATTTATTCTTCTACTGATAGTTGTATAAAGGTAGTAAATCTAGATGGAAATTGTGGCAGCACTTAAATTAGCAGTGACACTATCGCGATTTATCGAAAAAGACTCTAAAATAGTTGGTTGTGTAGCGTGCGGTAGATCTCGGCAAAAATTGAGTGAAATAATGGAACAACTATTCGCTAGTAAGTGACTATATAATATACATACGTGTAGTAAACCGATCATTTATGAAATTCACTTAAATTAACTAAATTATATATTTTTCTTGCATTTTAGCTTTTATTTATTACTTGTCAAAGATTACATGTCAAAGAATTTAGATACGTTAATTTGACTTACCTGCTTCAGTAGCGTATCGGATGTTTGTGGTAATAAATACTTATTATAACTTATCTATTTTTATTAGTATTATATATTTTTATAACAATTTTAATAACTACCAACATTTATTCACAACGTAAAATAAAACAACAAATTATTGAGTCTACCCCACGTCTACCCTACATCATAGTTTTACATTTTTTAAATAAAATTAGAACGACACTTATAAACCGGAATTTAAGTCGGCCATATTTGGGGCCCATCGCGGTGTACCTAAGATTTTTGATATGCTCCTTCCTTAGTCTTCTTATTCAAAGGTTTACGTCTACGTTCTGATGTTTGATTTGATTTTAAAGCTTTTTTCGAGGCGTTTGTTTTAAAGCAGCGTATCTTCAATACAAACCGAGGTAATGTCGTGATTAAAAAATTAAAATGCTCACAAAAGATGAGGCTACAATGTGGTTTGATTTAGCAATACCTACTACAGCTGCTGCACCCTACAGGGTGTTACAAAATTTAGGCAAAAAACTTCGTCTAATTATTGTGCCCCGTATATGCTCAAAATAAATTCGGAATAAAAATTTCTGACGTAGCATCCGTTAAGAAAGAATTAATTTACAATTTAAAAAAAAAATCATCAAAATCTAATGATTGGTTCGCGAGAAATCCAACTTTGAAATTGGGACTAGTTTTTAGTGGCCGGTTTTTTTTGCCGGTGAGTGTATATCCTTCAAATATGCGCACATAGTGCACACACAATTTTTTTTAATTTTCTATAAAACGGTATGGAAATTTGGAAAAGTATAAACGGGATTAAACCATTTTATAACAAGCAAACATTTTTTATGAAGAATGCATTTTCTCAAAATACCAATAATAATAAAAAAGTTTTTCCTCTCGTAAAGACAATCCGTGGACATACTGTACACACAATTTACATAATTTATGACAACAGAAGAAAAAAATATTTATCATTCAATCTATTAAGAAGTTACTTGTCACGTCATTCACGATCTTACTAGTTGACATATATGATTTCGACTGATAAAATACCATTATTATCGTATCATCGTATCGTTGGATAACGGAAGCATGAAAATCCAGCTTAATAGGCAATATATGGATAACATTAAATTGGGTTAAACATTGGCAACGTTGACAGACATCTGGCGTAAATTAGCTTTGTTTTTCAAAATCAAACTTAAGGCTTAAATCCGAGCTTTAACACAGAATGAAATTAATTGTTTACCACCTTAAAATTACCTTTTCTCGATGTTCTTGCAGCTGATCCCGTACACACTCGTGCTGTCGTTGGAGCTCCTCCTTCCTGGTATCAAAAAGGTTCTCCAATTTCTCTCTTTCGGACACTCCCCGGCCTACCACGGCCGTAACAGCCTCCCGTTTGACCCGGGTGAACTGTTCCCTGTTCCGGTGTTTCTTCGCCAATAATTTGACTTCTTCCCGATGGTCCGCTTGAAGTTTCCTCATTAACTCCGAAGTCTCTTTCTCAAATTGATCCTGTAGTAAAAAAATATATTCAATAAATATGATTATCTACAGGGTGTTTCAAATATTATGTGCCATCTCTTAAGGCGGCCAACTGATAATAGTGAATAAAACTGATAATAGGGCACAGAATAGATTTTAACAATCCAAAAATTATAATGAAAGAAGCGATAAAGAGAAGAACATAACATACGTAAAAATTAAAAACAAATTAAAAGTTCGAGGCTTTTTGGTTTTACCTTATTAAGTAATTGTTATCAGGTAGTAATTATTAATTTTGAAATTTAATTTGATATAACGTTATTTTAACAGAACAACAACGGTTTTTGTAGACGTGTCTGTTTAAAAAAAACTAAAGTGTTCTCGAATAGTTGCAGATATTTTAAATGTTTTTATATTTTTTTCTTTATTCTTTGTATTTTTTTCGCTTCCGACGAAGGAAAGAAATATATATTTTCCGAAACGTTAAGATTTTTTTTGTCCGTTAGGCAAATTTGTTTATCAGTAAGCCACTGCTGACAATTAGTCTCCGTTGGATTAACGCAGCAGTGTTTACAAAAAATAACTATTATATTTTGTAGATTTTCTTGCGGTGGCGAAATACCCAAACGGAAACTACTTGTCAGAAGTTAGGTTTACAGATATACAAATTTGCCTAACGAACAAAAAAATGCTTAACGTTTCGGAAAGTTTATCTCTTTCCGTCGTCGGAAGCAAAAAAAATACAAAGAATAAAGAAAAAAACTATTTAAAATATTTAAATTCAACTATTCGAGAACACTTTAGTTTTTTAAAACAGATACGTCTACAAAAACCGTTGACGTTCTGTTACAATGACATTATATCAAGTTAAAAATAAAATATATTAACTATATATAATATAAAAATAAAGTAAAACCAAAAAGCCCCAAACTTTCTGTATGATTATTTTTAATTTTTACGTATGTTATGTTCTTTACATATACATACAGCCGTTACCCGCTGACGAGTATTCGACACACATAAAGAAGATGGAAACGCAAGGCGTTTTGACTCTGAAATCCAGCAGAGGATTAGTAGCGCCTCAAGAGCATTCTGGAAATTAAAAGACAGGGTTTTCTACAATCATGACTTGAGTACAAAAACAAAACTTGCAGTGTACCGAGCAATTATAATCCCCACCATGTTATATGGGAGCGAAACCTGGGTGCCGTACCGCCGACACATGAACGCAACAAGTTGCAACAGAGACACCTTAGACAACTCTTAAGAGTCCGGTGGTTCAATCATGTCTCAAACGTATCGGTCCTTGAAAAAGCTAACTACGAGAGTATTGAAGTCATGGTCACAAAATCCCGCCTAAGATGGGCTGGTCACGTATGCAGAATGCAAGAAAACCGCATGGCAAAATCTCTGCTTTACGGTGAGCTTGTAGACGGTAAGAGGAGGCCGGGTGGACAACTGAAAAGGTACAAGGACATTTTCCACGAAAATTTAAAGGGAATTAACATGCAGAATGAGTGAGAAAAAGCAGCTCACAATAGAAACCAATGGACAAGGATTGTAAACTTAGTTAACAGCGGCAACCAAAAAGTAAAGAGGCAACAAAGCAATGAGATTTTTGAATGTCCGGAGTGCGGTAGATAACATCACGTATCGGGCTTTTCAGTCACAGAAAAGCTCATGAAAGAAAACGCCTTGCGTGACCATCTTCTTATGTTCTTTAAAATCAAAGAAGCGATTGCCATACATTACTAACATCTACAGATGCATGAGCAATACATTTATTTTTATTAGATTGTATTAAAAAAGTCTCTTTTATTTTTCTTTTAGAGGCTATCGCTTCTTTCATTATAATTTTGGCGTTATTACAATTCATTCTGTGCCCTGTGTCCCATGAATGCTGACAAATCTTAGATTTGTGAAAATCTCCTTTTCCTTCTTTTTCTTTTTTTTTTCTTTTCTTTCTTTTTTTTTCTTTTTTTTCCGTTTGGATTAACGCAACAGTGTTTACAAAAAATAACTATTTCATTTTGTAGATTTTCTTGCAGTGGCGAAATACCATATAGGATTTTTGGAGAGATGAATCCGCCACATAGATATAGACATTTTTTACTCTGTATAAGTAAGAGTACGTACCTTTAATGCTTTTATTTGATTATTTTGACTCTGCTTCATCACCTTCTCCGCCGTATTGTAAATGAGATCATGGTACCGTTCCCTAAGCTCCTTCTCTTGGGAAACAAAATCCCTGCTGATGGCTAGCAATCGTTCCGACTGGCTGCGGGGAAGTCCCCGCTCCGAGGGGTCGGTGCTCGTGGTACCTTCGCCCTCGTCGACGACAGATGTCAACGGTTCTACACTGGGCGATTCGGTGGAGAAGACGCCACTTACGCTGGTAAACAGGCTACAGTTAAGGTGGGACATAGGTTAGACAGTGTCGATGTGTGGTGGTCAAGAGACTGAGCTCATTGATTTGAACAAATAAAAAGTTTTAATAATAATCTATAATAGTTGAGGGTTGGAACCTTTGGTGTTACACAGCAAAATAAAACACTAAATCACCACAATACACCAAAACACTTTTACTTTTACACTGGACGCGCGTTTCGCTAACCATGTTAGCATCATCAGCAGATGATTATAAACCGAGTTTATAAGTTTATAATCATCATTGCTTCAGTTTATAATCATCTGCTGATGATGCTAACATGGTTAGCGAAACGCGCGTCCAGTGTAAAAGTAAAAGTGTTTTGGTGTATTGTGGTGATTTAGTGTTTTATTTTGCAATAATAATCTATGTATTTTTTATACCCCTAAGTTATAAGGGTGGTCCATCCTAAATTTATTGGATAATTTTTTTTATTTTTTTATGATCTGGCATTAAAAAATACATACAACCCTAAATTTTCACCTTTCTACCATCAACCCCTATTTTTTAATAGCGATATTTTTAATTCAATAATTTTAATTTAACAACAAATTGTTTTTAAAAATTGTTAGAATACCTTTAATTAAAAACGTGAGTATGATTGGGTATATACCGGGAATAATGGTATTTGCCCAAATTCAATATATCATTTATTGACACTTTGGATATATCATCGGATGCATAAACTTGGGTATTTACCCAAATTTCAATATACCGTTGGTATATTGAACCGGGTCTGCTAGTAATAATATACAGGGTGGCCCAACTGTATTCCGGAAACTTCGACAGCCTATTCTGCAGATAAAAATAAGTAAAAAAGATCGTTTAAATGTATGTCCTAAAATGCGTAGTTTTGGAGCTACAGGGTGTAGAAGTTTTATTTTTATTTCGATTTTTTTTCAAATAATTTCTGAATTAACGTCAATATTTAGATGAAAATTGGTGTCTGCGAGTTTTTCGACATGAAAAATTCGATTTTGATGTCAATATGATTTCTATTTGTAAGAGGCACCACCTACATATGTTTTAACTGTTTTGAAGAGTAATAACTTTTCGTCCATACCTGTGTAAAACTACAGAGTAAGAAAATATACATTTCCGTGATTTTTTACGTAAAAAATGTCTCTTGGTAAAAATCGCTACGAGCAACCGTTCTCAAGATATTTAGAATGGAAATGGTCAATACATATCGTTATTGACAAAAATAAACAGGTTGAGTAGATAGTTATTTGACTAAAATGATAAATTTGAGAACTGTTTATTTTTTAAGTTAATCATAAATTTTCTTCGAAAAAATGACGATAAAACAGTTTCTGTTTGAACTTTTGACACAAAACATTTCAAATTTATGATTTTAGTCTAATAAGTATTTAGTCAACATGTTTAATTTATGTCAATGATGACAGGTATTGATAATTTCGATTCCAAATATCTCGAAAACCATTACTAGTAGCGATTTTTACTGGAAGAACTTTTTTACGTAGAAAATGTCCTAAATGTATATTTTTTTACTCAGTAGTTTTATAAAGGTACGGGCGAAAAGTTATTACTCTTCTAGTCAGTTAAAAAATATGTAGGTGGTGCCCTCTACAAGTAGGAGTCATATTGACCTCAAAATCAAATTTCTCATGTAAAAAACCTCCCAGAAACCAATTATCATCCAAATATTGAAGTTACTTCAGAAATTATTTGGCAAAAATCGAAATAAAAATGATACTTCCCTATATTTTAGTTACTCCTCCCTGTATCTCCGAAACTAAGCATTTTAGGACATATATTTATACGAACTTTTTTACTTATTTTTGTCTCCAGAATAGGCTGCCGAAGTTTCCGGAATACAGTTCGGACCACCCTGTATATTACTTATCCACAAATAATATGATAAATTACACTGAATTTGGATACGTCAAATAAAAAGAACCTAAAAAATATTTATTAAAATAGTCATCAATAAATTTCAGAAATATTATAGAAAGACTCGTGAATTAACATTTGTAAATTTATTTCGTTAAAAAATGTTTTAATTGTTTGTCTGAACACTTGTGCAATGCAAAATGTCTTTAAATAATTAAATTTCCCCAAAGTAACTACATAAAAACATATTAAAGCTCAGTCTCCTTTATTTTGGTTATTAAAATGTGCATTAGTGTGAGAGTGTTAAATGAAAATTAATATGCAAAGTAATTAAATAGGTCGGTACTTACATATTTTTGCTAGAAAGCCTTTTCACCAGCTTCATATTAATTAATTTGGACTTCTTCTCCGAGTAATCTCCACTTTTTTGCGACTGCAAAGTCTGTTTTTTCTTTTCGTGTTTCTTCCTTAACGTCTCTAATTTCTTATCCAATTCTAGTTTCTTTTCTAATAAAAAAACTATTTTAGAAATGTATACGGTGGTCGAAATTGGTCTGATTTAACCAATGAAGAATCCAAGGACAAATAACACCCGAGAGCAAATTGTGACGATGTTACCAAACAGTGCCGTGGCACATATTTTTCTTAACCTCGCTGCTTGAAAAAATATTTATATTTTTTGATAAATGTTTTGACTACGTCTATGGTGTATACGGTGGTATCATACTAATTAATTACGAAAAAACCGTATTAAACTGTTAACAAAAGGTACAAAACTAGTATCGACGTATAACACACATCAAGTACATATAATGTCAGAAAAATAATTATCGAATTCAATAAGAAAACTAAGAAAACGCTACAAAGGTGGAGCGGACTGTTTATTTACCTATGAAACGTAACTCCTGGCTCTTTCTTATCGCTGCTTCTTTTACACTTGAAAGCTGAACAAGTAATCACCATTGTAATTAAGTTTATACAAAGTTCACTACACACAAACTATTAAAAATCGCTAAAATTGTCGCTGGTGACCAGATGATGACCCATTGTTTTCAATCAAAAGAATGAGGTCTAAGGTCACAAATTCTGCGGCAGCCCGTATATGGGTCCTTATATTCTTTAGTCCTTGGATTTAGCAGAGAAAACATATTTCCTGACTAGATAGAGCAAAATCGACATAGATGTCACGATTTCTGATGTTTAATGGTATAAACCGCCGCACACTCGGCAAAATGCTACGTTTAACTTGACAAAAATCTGTAACAGTTAAATTTCATCGCTACGACCTCTGTGTGCTAGCTCATAAATTATCGCAAATAACTTATTTTTGCATCATGTTTACTATAATTTTATTGTTAAATATTATTTTATTTAGTATTTTACCATTATGCAACCCGATATACACCGCTAGATTATACAGCTTCAGCTCCACTGTCACTGATGCCGACCAGCAGTAGACTTTTTGTCCGTCTCTCTATATCTTTGATCATCACCTGTTCGTCACTTGTCACTGTCAGATCAAATCAGATGTTTTTGGATTTATTTATCCTTTGTTTTGGTTATTGAAATTTTATAATTATCAGATAAAATTTCGTAGTTAAATTGGTTATTTTTGATGTGGATCGCAGTGTGCAATTCGTTCTTTTAATTGTGGAATTTCTGAGTTTAGTTCGTTGATTGACCGGATATGGAATACGGCTGAGGAGAAAACATCATTTTTTATTTATGCCTTTTTGTGAGTTGGACTAGTCAAGATATATAGTTCTCTATCTATATCCTGGAGGGAGATTTCCGGTTGAAATCTGATTTTGTGAAGGAAATCGAATCCTTGCATCACTTCTTGTGTACTCCCCGGCTGAAGAGTGTCGTCGTGAAGAACTGGCTGCCGTTCCGTGAAGCATTCCCTGTTGGTGATTAGCATGCCTTCCTAGTGAAGGATTAAGTCTTCCGGAACACATTTGGTCAGAGACGTGGTTGTATTTTGTGGGATTTACATGGACTACCGACCAGTTTCCATAATGGGATTAAAATAGCCTTTTTCCGACCGATATTCCGATTCCACGTGCCCAAGAAGTCCCCGAACAGTTCCAAGGTATGCTATAATTCTTCTGCCTATTCTAAGTCAATGCTCAACTGATTTTTGTTCATATTGTTGTCTGGTTTTCGACTTTTCCACGCCCACGTGGTGTAGAAAGATTAGTTGAGTGTTATCTTTCTTAAGTCTTATTTGGTTGTTCGTAATTGTAGAGCAAGAAGACCGATTCAGACCTTACAGCACAGAACAGTCCAGAATTCCATCCGTTCCTGTTGCCCGTGTGTAGAGTTACCCGTTGGATATTATAAACCCTCGTTGAGGTAAAGTTCAGATTTGATTAGTCCTTCTTTATTAACTTTATTAATTACACATTGTGCTAGTCCTTGTTCTATAATTGAGGCTCTTTTCTAAGACAACCAATATTATTTAGGGTTTTTATGTTCACCATTTGAAACCTCAACAACTTGCCTTTCATCTGTACGTCTGCTGACATCCGTGGGCTCCAGTGACAGTACCCCGAGCTGCTGTACATCGCCGTAGCAACCCTGTAGCTATACACCGTAGCTCAGCCGGAGGAAGTTCGAATAGTTTTCAAGTATATCACATCGAGTAGAGTAAGACTGTTTAGATTAGTATAATTTTAGATTTGCTATTTGTATTCTGCCCTTAGAGCATACTTAGTTTAAGTTAAGGGGGATGACGTCTTAGTTTTAATATAGCTTAGACCATTTTCATTTTTCATTTATTTTATCGATTTAAACTTTACTTCATTTCATATACATTTCATCATTTTCTCTATACATTTAACCTTTTTGATATTTCATACATTCATAGTCTCATAGTTAAGTTAAAGTCACTTAAGTTTAAATAATTATAGTAACATTTGAAGTTCATGGTAGTTACACTCAAGTTCGAGGTTAGTGTTGAAGTCTACTTAATAGTTACATCTTTATTGCCGAGTTCATAGAGTATAATCTCTTGGCGCCCTTTTATTAATATCTTTGAACCCCGACCACCCGGCTGTTAAAATTAAAAAGCTAGTGGCCTCTATGCAACTCATTCAGATTAAGTAAACTTTGTGTTTTATTGAACTTCAAATTAGAAAGGGCGTGGCAAATCTAAATTAATTTTTTTTTCGTATGTTTATTCACACATTGTTTTTCTTATTAATAATAATAATAATATAGTAATAATAATAGTAATCCAGACACCGGCTTTAAGCTGAGAAAAAAAAATAATAATCCAGAAACAATCGAGCATATAACGGGGGGTTGCAAAATACTAGCGGGGACAGATTACACTGATCGACATAACACGGTAGCAAAGATAATCATTTATTATCGATATCGCTGTACCAAACGACAGCAATGTAACATCAAAAGAAAGAGAGAAGATTAAAAAATACACACCACTTGCTATAGAAATTCAGAAAATGTGGAAACAAAATAAAGTAACTTACACCTATAGTTATATCAGTAACAGGTATAACTACAAAAGCATTCTCTCAACATATACAATCAATAGATCTACCCCCATACATTCACACTAACATGCAGAAAGCTGTAATCCTAAAAACGACAACTATAGTAATAAATAACAGAAAACTGTTAAACTTTACAATACATTAAAGAAGAAATTATAAATACAAAATTTAAGCTTAATATCTTTCGAGTTACAATATTATTGTACGAAGAAGAAAAAAAAAATATATACACTATAAATAAAAGTTTAATCTTAATAGTCATCAATTTACTATTACTGTTATATAAGAAAGAATAATAATAAGCAAGACAAAAAAGAATCAACAAGTCATTATAATATTTATAAGATCTTTTCAAGACACGGGGCCAGAGGATGCATTATCTGTTATTCATTTTAAAATGAAGTTTAAAGGAGTTTGGGGCTAATTTTTTTAGTTCAGTTGGTACAGAGTTATAAAGTAGATAAATATTATATGTAAACGATCTTCTAAAAATATGTAATCGATATGAAGGAAGCGATATTAGGCCCCTAAACCTAAGATTTAAATTATGAACATCAGTACGGTATGATATTTTAGCAACCAGATACGGAGATATTATAAATTATCTTGTGAAATATTAGAGTCGAGTGCATCCTTCGTCTTTCTTTCGTAGATATCCATTTTGCTTCCTTTAATTTGTATGATATTGGGGAGAATTTCCTAATACGGTATATGTACCTCAGACAGGAATTCTGCACTTTCTGAATCCTATTTATGTTGTTTTGGTCGAGACAGGGACCATACACCGCATCAGCATAATTGAAACATGAAAGAACGAGAGAGTCCGTCATTCTAATTTTTAATGAAATCGGTAAAAAGTGTCGATGTGGATAAAGTATTTTTAGTTTTGGATATGCTTGCTTAATACATTTAGTAACATGGGGCTCAAATCTTAAATTTCTATCAAACACCAACCCCAAATTTCTAACTACTTCAACTTTTTTTAGAATGTTGTTTCCTATTTTTAATATAAAATTATCGTAGGCTGATTCGGAAGCTCTACCAAAAAGCATATAGCATGATTTGTTGGCATTAAGTTCAAGTTGATGTTTGTGGGAAAATTGACAAAGTTTCTCCAAATCATTGTTAACGGACTCTACGGCTTCACCAATATCATTGGGATAGAAGGAGTACAGAAGTTGAGTGTCATCGGCATAAAGCTGTATAGAGCAATTATTAACCCAATCAGATATCCTGCAAGTATATATGCTGAAGAAGAGCGGTCCCAATATAGATCCCTGTGGTACACCATTTGTGATGTATTTGCTTCATAATTTGCCTTTATCAGTGATAACATACTATTTCCGATTTTTCAAGTAAGTTTTTAATAATTGAATTGATTGTTCAGAAAAACCCAGGTGTTGAAATATAGAAATTAAAATACTCTGATTAATTTTATCAAAAGCCTTTGTATAATCTAACAAAATCATATTACATTTGTAGAGCTAATTTTAAATATTATATATATTTTTCCAGTGCAAGCGTTGCGGAAAATTAATGCAGTTCGCACTTTTCGTAGAGCGTAAAAGAGTGTCATCCAGCACACCATTTGAATTTTTTCCTACTGTCAATAATAATATGAAAAAAAATCTTGTAATACGCTTTGAAATTCTTAATTTAGAATATCTGTTTTTTTTAAGTAAAAGAATCATTTCTTGATATCACAGGACTGGTATAGAAATCAGTGCGACTCCCTGCAAATAAAGGGCTATTTCAAAAAGGACAGATTAGGGAAAGCTGATTTTTTATACCTGTATTAACATACATTAGGGATTTTAATTTTAATAAGTTAAACGCGGAACTCCGTGGAACTCATTACTATAACTCATTATGAAAACAAAATTATAAAAAAAAACACAAAATACGCTCTTCCCAGAAAGTGCGGAATCCACCAACTTTCGGTAACGCTTGCGCCGTTATAGTTAAAAAATTATAACATTTAAAATTAGGTCCACAGATTTTTTAGAAAAAAAAAAGGAAAATCCGATTTTTTTATTTTCGGCAATTTTTTTAAAACCTAAAAAGCGGGTCAAATTGCATTTAGACTTCTTATACATTAACATCTTTTCCCATGTGATAGAGAGGTGGAAAAAGTTAATAAATTATAAATACGATTTTCTTCAAAGGGGTATATCCAGAAAATCGACAATCGAAATCTTTGAAATTATATATCTCGGAAACTGTGCATTTTCGAAACCCAGTTTAAATGGGGTGAATATAGAGGTCCAATACTAGCTCTATGCGTAGAGGCCTCACTGGTCGTTTAGCTACTTACCATTTCAAAGAGGAAACATCTTATTTACACCTTTATTTGTCAAACGCCAAAATTTTCGAAGTGACTTCTACCCTTAATTTCAACGTTAACGACTTAAAAATTATTTAAAATCATATAAGATAGGCCTGGTTATAAAAACATACGAATTTTGGTAGCTCGACCAGACTATAAAATGTTTTAAGAAAAATGTATTATTCCGCAAATATAAACCCATAACTTTTTATGGGCAATTTTTAAAATGGTCGAAAATTCAAAGAGACTTTATGCTATTAAACATATCTAAGAAATCGAACCTATGATATCTCTGTCAGTGTTGCTCTATCTACTCAGGAAATAGGTTTTCGACCACCCTGTATAAGTCTACTGATGTTTTCTTTTACTTACCTTTAACCAACTTATTCTCTAGTATTTTATCTAATGATTCTGCAACTATTTCTTCGATTTTCTCCTCAATCTTAATTTCAGTCGATTTGTTTACAGAGTTTGCTTCAGGTGCAATAGCGGGTCCAACGTGATGAGCCAACAAAGTCGTGGGTAGTGATGTTGTTACGTCATCATTGGTTACTACATCGATAGAACTTGAGCCTCCAGTCGATATGGTAGGGCGTTGTGCTGGACTTCCATTTACGTGTTCCTTAATATTCTGGAATTATATCATTACTATTTATTCAATAATAGATTAATCATTAATCTGTATTTATGCACGTGTTTTATACAGGGTGAATCTTAAATAAGTGCAAATATTTTTAGGGGTGGCATATTTTGACCCCAGGAACAGTCTATGAGATTTTTTCGTATAAAAAAGATGATATAAGTAGTAGGAGAGACGTATATTTTAGAAAACTTTTTAAAACCGTCTGTTCACCACAAATGTTGCCCTGTATAATTTCTTAATCTCTGAATTACTATGGTTACGGCTTTACTCAATAGCAAATACAAACGAAAATCCGGTGGCTTAAAAAATTTTTTTTTTTAAAGTAAATCATTTTTTCAAAATTTCAAACTTGATTAACTCGTTCCTTGGTCTTTTAATAAGTCAAATGTTACTTCTTACTAAAGCTTCATTCAGAACCTCGGAATCAGTGGAATAAATTAGTAGTTCCAATTAGCCGTAGAAGTTTGTTCACCTAATTTTAATGTAAACGTCATAATTAGTGGTAGTAATTTTCAATTAGTGGAAAAAGTTAACAAACTCTTGACTTTTCCACTAATTACACTTCAAAATTTGCGAGGAATTTCATTTTGGCTTTTGATTATCACCCGTCAAGAAAAATTTTGGTTAGAAATCAAAAGCTTATTGTTTTATAAGCTAAATATTATGCTTTCTCTATGGATACAACAGACTAGCGCAAGCTGTGGCTAGAATATTTTATTAATTTTAATTGTGTTTTTTAGGCATTGTGAATGATCGTAAACTAAAAAGTATAAAGTTTAATTGAAACCACTAATTTATTCCACTAATTAGGAGGTTCTGAATGAAGCTTATTACTATTAATTCATTATTTATTAAATAAATTTATTTTTAATTTATTATTACTAATATTACTACTTATAATCATATTAAAGAATGCATCTTTATTTTAAATACCCTTTCTAAAGTTCCCTGTTTTTGTTCATCGCCTTCTGCTGGTTCCATATCGTCTGTCAAAACCGATAATTGTTGAGCACGTTTCTCCAGATCGCTCTGGTATTTTATTGGATTAGCCAATGCTTCGGCGAAGTCGGATAATCCATCAGGTACGTAATCCTTAACAACTACATGAAGAAAAAGAGTGGCTAATGGTAACGGCTGACCTACAAAGTCAAGATAAAATTCATATAAAAAGGATATTATTATAGTGGGAGTTTTTTACCCATTTCAGTCCGTAAATTGACGTGCCTGTAGCCGGGGCAAAGACCCACGACAGGTAGAATGCGATGGCCGATAAATTTGCCACCTTCTTCATATGCCACAATCCTAATGGAAGCTAAATCTGGCAAAACGACTTTCTTAAATACAAACGGTTCTTCGTCGTATACTGGATTTATTCCGTTATTTTGAATAACCTAAGACATAAAATAAATCATTATTGATGTCGAACTAGAAAATACTCATGATATGTATGTAAGTACAGCATTAGTAAGTCTTCTGTAAGTTATTTGATGAAATGTTTTCGTTGTAAAACGTTAAAACATTGTAGAAATGCTTGGATTGGACCATATAAACTCAACAAGAGGATTCTCTGCTGGTTTAAAAGTAATTTTCACAGCAGAATGCAGTAAGTTCCCATCTGTCAATTATACAATCAATATTATACAATATAGCAAGGAATTTAAAAATCATTTTATCTTTGAGGTACATCCTTTCTCGATAGTTTGTTTTTTGGTTCATCTCAATAGCTTTATTTTTGTTGGAGATATTCGCTATTGAAAGGGATGCTAACATTTTTGCATAATTTTTACATTAAAACCAAAAAACCATATCTTTGCTTTTGGTCCTTGTCAACAGACCTTCCTAAAACAGACCTTCTTGACATAATAGGTATTTGCTTCGTTTAATCTTCTTCTTACAGTCAGTGTTCACTTACATGTATAGTATTTTTAATACCTATTTAGAGGTACCAGCCGTTTTAGTAACTTAACGTATGCGGCTTCTTGCACCATCTAAACCCGCATGAAAAAAATTAGGTTATGACCCTTGTCATGTCAAATGCTTGACATATTTCTTATTGCATTGGCGGAGTGACTTGAAATTTCATATTATCAGTGGCGGTTCGATTTGAACTTGTCATATGAAGGTTCCAGTACGTCTAGCATATGAGCTTGCCTCGAGAAAGCAACTGAACTATACTTCGTGCACACTTAAATCTGTTAGTGATACAATTTTGATCTCTATCATCTTGAATTAAAGCAACTATAGCGGATACAACTCCTGGACCATCCCCTGAACCATCTCGGCTAGAGTAACTGCCAGATAGCCAACAGACGATAATAATATGATTTATGACCAGTTACATTACATAAATCATAAACACTATTTAATAGGCCTGTTGATTGGGACCAATGTAACGGCATGGTTTTAATGTAAAAATTACGAAAAAGTGTCTTCTTCAAAAGCGAATATCTCCAACAAAAACAAAGCTATTGTAATGAACCAAAAAACACATTTTTTAAATTCCTTGCCTCGTTAACATATTCCACTTGCTTTGTTAACGTACTCCATAGAGTGTGTCAAACTTTCACCAAAATATAATTTTGTTTTCCCTCGTATAATTGGCATATGAAAACTTTCATTTTTAATTAGGAAAGAGATACTAAAAAGCCAAATAATTTAGCTACAAATTGCTTAAAAAATCATCAAAATCGGTCCACTAGAACACAATATATAAAACTTTAAAATAAATCAAAATTTTAAGGTGTTCGTTTTTCGTGCCGGTGAGTGTAGTACTTAGAAATCTTAAGATCTTTGGTTGTGGGTATTAGAGAGAAGATTTTGGTAAGATTTTGATAAATAAGTGTCGAAGTAACAAAATAAAGAAATTTTTAATAGTGATTGAGTGAAGTACAGGGTGGGTCAAATTAGACGCTTTTAAATGGAAACACCCTTTTCTATGGGAGATAGACAAAAACTAATATCGGTGTCTGGAGCTCAATTTTTGTCAAAAACATGATGGTGAAAACCGCATATCGATATCTGTTACCGTTTCGGAGTTACGGGGTGTTTTTTTCAAAAATATGCATTTTTAACAAATCGCTGTAACTTTTTTGCTATGGAAAATTTTGTATTTTTATGAAAACATTTCCAAAGCACTTTTTTACGTACAATTTATTAATGGTTTAAATATAATTTTTTTAGAATTAATAATTTAAGAATTATCAACAGAAAATTTGATTTTTTATATAGGACACCCTATATATTTTTAATTTATTGAAAAGAATTTAAAATTACCTTTCCAAAAATATAACACACTTGATATTTTGCTCGATTCCTCTTCGAGATATGGAGTATATAAAAATTCGCCCGCTTTAAATAAGTAGGCTTGGAACAAAAAAAAATTCTAGCTGTGAGCATCAATTAAAACGAAAATAATATTTGCTATGAGAGATGCAGAATTTTATAACAATCTAAAATATATTTAACCAACATCAGCACATTTAAACTATATCCAATAAGAATAAAAATAAATAGCAAACCAAGACATGAGATTTTGCTACAGGTGTTCGGATATGTCGCCTGTTCGGATATGTCGACCGTCTTCTGTTATAGACAGACAGTTTTTGAACATTTCTCGCGGAATTCATTAACTCAGTGGGGAAGATACCCTCTCAAAACTGCTAAGTATTTCTAATTCTTGTCTAGATTATACGGAAGAATAAGGAACCTTTATTCATCCGCAAATATATCCATAGGATTAGATCCATGGGCCGATAGTCAGGCGGCCTCGATGGCCAACGTCTGGGATCTTGGTTAGCTATTCAATTATTCTTGAAATTGGCTGCTAAAATTTGCTGATAACATGGGCATATCATCAATAAGGGGTCCAAAGCCTACTAGTTAAAAGTGGCAAACTTTTAAAAATTCTGTATTTCGAAGGGGATTACAACAAAATATCAAGTGTGCTATATTTTTGGAAAGGTAATTTTAATTCTAATTTTTAAAAATATAGAGGGTGTCATAAATAAAAAATAATTTTTTCTGTTGATAACTCTTAAATTATTAATTAAAAAAAAAATATACTTAAACCATTAAATTCTACGTAAAAAGGTGCTTTGGAAATGTTTTCATAGAAATTCAAAATTTTCCATAATAAAAAAGTTACAGCGATTTGTTAAAAATACATATTTTTGAAAAACACCCCGTAACTCCGAGACGGTAACAGATATTGATGTGCGGTTTTCACCATCATGTTTTTGATGAAAATTGAGCTCCAGACACCGATATTAGTTTTCGTCTATCTCCTATAAAAAAGGGTGTTTCCATTTAAAAGCGTCGAATTTGTCCCACCCTGTACATACACATCATGTACAGGATGCTCCAATGATTGATTCAATCTTGTTTAATGGTTTGGCTTGATCTGCTGTATATTTTGATGAAATATTTATAGGTATTTCGAAAGAATAGATTGATTGCGTACCTTGGTCCTAAATCTTCTTCTTACTGTATCTGCTGGGAGACCGTACATTTCCACCTCAACATATGTCCCGACTCTCTTGTCCGTTAAAAACTGTCCCGATATAACTTGAATTTTGACAGTCCCTGCTATAATGCCATCTATTGTAGATTCGGCAAAAGGATAGAATCTGGTGTCGGTTCTTCTCATAAATTCGGGCTAGAAATAATATCACATTAAAACAGAAGAATATGATTTGTTAAATAAATGTGATTTGTAATGTGAAAAAACATAAGAAAAACGTTTTAAATAAAAATATGTGATAAAACTGTTTCTTGTTTTGTTTTTAATATATATACTACCGCTTCTCATTTAGGAAAATCTGTAGTTGAAAGTGTAATTTATCTAAGTCTTTTTAGGGTTCCGTACCCAAAGGGTAAAAACGGGAACCCTATTACTAAGACTTCGCTGTCCGTCCGTCCGTCTGTCACAAAGGTTTATCTTATGATCCGTTATAGCTAGACAGTTGAAATTTTTACAAATGATGTATCTATGTTGCCGCTATAAGAACAAATACTAAAAACAGAATTAAATAAATGTTTATCAATAAAAAAGTACTTTCACTAAACATTATCTTTTAAGTAAGAATTTTACATAGAATCTTTCAAGTCTTCGGTGGCCACGTCTTTAAAGCGTTAGGACTTTACGCTGCTATGACGTTGGATCCGTAGTAAAGCAGGTTCGAATCCTAGTCAAGGCGACTTTTTTTTAATCGTTTTTAATTTCTACATATTTTTACATATTTATTTTTACTTTTTACATATTTATTATTGATTAATACAATTTTTAGTAATGTGTTTCTTAATTTTTTTTAAATTACTTATACACGCATTCAAAATTTCAACTAAATCGGAAAAAAGTATTATTATATTATAATAATAGTGTCTAATGTTGTATAGATAATGAATGGTACGGAACACTTCGTGCGCGAGTCCGACTCGCACTTGACCAATTTTTTTATTGTTTTTCTGTCAACTGAAATACTTAAGCGTTCTGAATCCTATTTTCTAAGATCAAATCGATATTATAAAATCTTACCTTTAATATATAACCAGACCGAAAATTGTACTCAAATATTCCCAAATTCAGTTGCATCGCTAAGTCTAGCGTTTGAAAATTGAGTGCCACTAGCTGACAGCCGGCGTTCCAGTACACTTGGGGCATGAAATTCGACGAGTCAAAACGGGTACCCACCGGGTACACCCTACTTAGCTGGTACTTGTTATAGTTCACGAACTGAATTGGGTATTCTTTGAGTAGGGCCGTAGCTCTTTTCTCGTCGAAAGAGGACATTTCGTAGCACCGATTTTTTTCTACAAATGAAAATATTGTGTTATAAAGGTATATATGGGTGACTCCATTCTAAACTGTTATTTTTGTGTTCTGTACTGTTTGCTTTTACTGATTGAACACTATAGTCGTATTGTTAAGAAGTGTGGCGACATCTTTCGGGGAAACTTAACACATCGTCGGTGAAATGATTGGTGAAATGTGATAAACTGCTAACTCCATTATTCCTAATTTTACAGAAGAGCAAAAAAACGGTACAAAAAATATGTAAATATGTAGGAAGTATTTTCATGTGTTAATATGATAAAGAGATAAGAATTTTATTTCCTGGGCAACAATAAAACTCAATATTTCGTGTTACACACGGTAAACTTGTTAGTGTATCGTGGTGTTACATCATTTTTTCAGACATAATAGGGAGATAGCAGATATTCGTCTTGCAGAATTAAGAAATAAAAATATACTTCTGGAGATAGTAATCTTTATTGTTTGAAATTTTGAAAATGGAATTGAATATTGCCCAAAGAGATAATCAATAATTAAACTTAAAAAATATGATATTCATAACCATATATTTATAATATCGTCGGCCTAGAAGCAAAACATACAAGTCCAAAAACGAATACATTTTTAATGCATTTTTAAAGAACTGAAGTAGCAGCATTTTGGACTTGAATGAATATGAAAATAATTTAAAAATTAAGCTTATAATTTCTTAGAAGATATAGTAGGATCCTTCCATGCTTATCCTAATTTTTATACAGCGGTAGTAGACCGAGCTTATGCGTGATTTTCACAGTGCGTGATTCTCACAGTGCGTGATTTTATTAAATTTTTATTATTTTTCTCCATATTTTTTTAATTTTTATAAAAATTATGTATCATTTACGTGGAAAAACGTTGAAAAAAATAAAACTGATTAGGTATTACGGAACTTCTTGTACAAGTAAGTAATGGTTATTTAAACTATTTATAGCACGCCGATGAATTGCTCGTATATGGAGAATTTCGTTTTTCCCCTTACCTACGGGATACCCCGTATTTACAGAACGGATCGACGCAGGATCGGACTAGCCATATTAAATACATAATATTTTCTCTTTACCGTTTTTTTCAAATAAATCCGAAACAACCGAGTTATTTCACTTTTAAAATTTCCAATTTTTTGCTATAATTTTGAGAATCATTGGATTTTGTTTCTTGTAAATTTAATCTACTACCTATGTTGCCATATTACAAACACAGTATGTTTTTAAACTAAAAATTAGAAAAATTTCCAACTTTTTTTTTAAAAATTCCAAATTTTCAAAAAAAAAATGCGAAAAGAACCTCATAATCGTGTTTCTTGGGTCGAAATATACTACCCCTAAAAATATTTGCACTTATTTAAGACTCACCCTGTATATAATAGGGAAAAATTGATGAAAACGTAAGGCGAAAAAAATACTTAAAAAACACACGGGTCCCTCCTTACATTGCCACCCGGGCCCCTTTGGCCTAGTGCGACCCTGGATCAACGTACTCTACTAAAGAAACATACGAGTAAGAATCAGTGTGTTTGCTTTAGCGTGATCGTAACGGAAATTACGGAGATAGCAGCATTTCGGTGGCTATTTCAGATCACTGGGAGTTAGCAGATATTATGGAGTTAAAATAGCAAATTTTCTTTAATGGGGAAAAATGTATTTGCTTTCCCTACTTATAGAGTATTTTTTTAAATATGTATAAAAAAACTTATTAACGTAAAAAATGGAGTTAGCAGGTTATCACGTTTCACTGACGACATTATCTTTATAAATTATAGCCTATTTGTTATTTATTTATTGATTTTATGCAGCATACTGTAACTAGTTTTATTCTGAATCACTAAATCTAAGTTGGCGACTGCTTGTTGTGTTGGGGGTGGAGACTATTTGTAACAGATCCGGTTTGAAACAGACCCTCCTTGAATCGAACCATTATCAAGTAGCTTTTGAACAGACCCTGTTTAAAACAGTGTGCTTAGTTAGAAGTTAATTTTATGTATCTTTATCTATAGTTGCATATCAGTTTTTAAAATTCATATTCAAATTGGGCGCGTGAACGATAGTTCCTGACAAGGATAGTAAAAGAGTAGCCCTACAGCGCGTGCAACAAAGTAACAAGATAATAGTTTATAAGTGATATGTTTAGAACCGTTTTTTTAGTTATTTACTTATCTAAGTAAGTATACTGGGTGCGTCACAAAAACTGGTTCGCCTCTATAACTCTTTTATTTTCTCAGATAAATAAACAAGATTTTGTATGTTAGTAAATAGTATATGACATAAATTAGGATTGATTGACGTATTCAAATCTTTTCGGTCACTTCCTGTTTCACCGGAAATTACAACTTTTGTTTTTTAAACGACACCCTCGGTATTTTTTTACTTTATTCAACAGAATATCACATTCTGAATAGAATGACGTATCATATGTCAACTTTTAACATTATCGCTTAAAAAATCGTATTTTAAATTTCAATCTAGAGTGTCATGGTTGTGTTAAAAATACTAATTTTTAATCAAGGAGCCTTGGAAAAATATATTTGATCGTCTAATGTTTTTAATCTATTCTCCTGGCCGGCTAAAAGATGCCCAAATCGTATTTTTAATTATATCTAAATTTTTTCAAATGGAACGAGTGTGGCTCATTAGCATATTTGGAAAAATATTTTTTTTTACGAATAATTTGGTACCACAGACTTGGTATTTCGAGTCAAATTGTCGTTATGAACCGCATGTTATAATTTCAAATAAACCATATGTGAAAATGTGTCATTTTATTTATGAGTGTCATTTTCTATCGAGCAAACAAAATAGCGAGAGTGCCATGTAAAAATCAAAAGTTATAGCCATTTCCGGTGAAACAGGGAGTGACCGAAAACAATTGATTACGTTAATTAGTCCTAATTTATATCATATACTAACATACCAAATCTCTTTTTTCTATATAAGAAAATAAAAAAGTTCTAGGGGTGAGCCACTTTTGAGACGCACCCGGTATATGATCCAGGGTCATAGAATTTAAATACTTTTGATAAAAATGCAACAGTTTGAATAGAATCACTGATTTAGATTTTGGAGATAATACTTTTGGCATTTTCGAAACTGTTGAAATGGACAGGTTGAACGTAGTTTACTAGAGCAGATATCTCTGCACCGGCCTCAGTCTCTGATGCTGGTGGTTTATCGCTTGCACACCCTTCGACACTTTCGGCATGTTGTCCGTCGCCCTCCATCGCCTCTGCCTCTTCATCGGTACTCGATTCCTCATCCTCAGTTCCAGTGGAATCCTTCGAGCCCTGTAACAATAAAATCTGTATTTATCGATAATAAATGACCAATCGATACCATTCAAATTTTAACATAAACGAAAAGAACACCGAATAGGAGGGGTATCAAAGGAAAGGGATAGCACTTTTTCCCGAAAAAATGTCTATACCTATGTGGCGGATTCATCTCTCCAAGAAATCCTATATGGGTATTTTGCCACTGCAAGAAAATCTACAAAATAAAATAGTTATTTTTTGTAAACACTTCTGCGTTGATCCCAAACGGAAACTACTTGTCAGAAGTTAGGTTTACAGATATACAAATTTGCCTAATGGACAAAAAAATGCTTAACGTTTCGGAAAGTTTCTCTTTCCGTCGTCGGAAGCAAAAAAAATACAAAGAATAAAGAAAAAACTATTTAAAATATTTAAATTCAACTATTTGAGAACACTATTTTTTTAAAACAGATTCTTCTACAAAAACCGTTGACGTTCTGTTAAAATGACATTATATCCCCCCAAGTTAAACTTCAAAATTAACAATTACTACCTGATAACGATTACTTAATAAGGTAAAACCAAAAAGCCCCAACTTTCTGTATGATTATTTTTAATTTATTACGTATGTTATGTTTTTTTAAAATCAAAAGTCCAATAAAGAACATAAAGATTATTTAAGAAAGGGAGATTTTCACAAATCTAAGATTTGTCAGCATTCATGGGACACAGGGCACAGAATAAATTTTAATAACGCCAAAATTATAATGAAAGAAGCGATAGCATCTAAAAGAAAAATAAAAGAGGCTTTTTTTAATATAATCTAATAAAAATAAATGTATTGCTCATGCATCATGTTAGTAATGTATGGCAATCGCTTCTTTGATTTAAAAAAAAAAAAAAACATAACATAAATAAACATAGCATACGTAAAAATTAAAAATAATCATACAGAAAGTATGGGGCTTTTTGGTTTTACCTTATTAAGTAATTATTGTAAGGTAGTAATTCTTAATTTTGAAGTTTAACTTGATATAATGTCATTTTAACAGAACGTCAACGGTTTTTGTTTTAATTCTTTATTCTTTGTATTTTTTTTGCTTCCGACGACGGAAAGAGATAAACTTTCCGAAACGTTAAGCATTTTTTTGTTCGTTAGGCAAATTTGTATATCTGTAAACCTAACTTCTGACAAGTAGTTTCCGTTTGGGATTAACGCAGAAGTGTTTACAAAAAATAACTATTTAATTTTGTAGATTTTCTTGCAGTGGCGAAATACCCATATAGGATTTTTGGAGACATTTTTCCGATTTAGAACGTGTCATTCCGCGATAAAACGTAGGTCCCGTGTACTTGTGAAAAACAACTCATGGCACACATCACAAGTACACACGAGAGGCTCGCGATATATGCGCGATCTCTGTAGAGTGTGGAAGAGTGAAGTATGGAAGAAAACCGCATGGTTGCACATCAATCACTTTGCTCACCAGGCACATAAGAGATTTCCAGCATTTTATCGGTATACTGCCAGTATAATTCATCTCGCATGGAAATTTTCCCATCGATCCGCTTCTGACAGTACTCTTCCCCAAACGGAACATCCATGGTGACGGCAATCGTTAAATCTTAAATTATTAATAATTCAATAATATAAAATTACGAATTATGTTAAATGAAAAACGGGCATTTTCTTCTAGGGGACTCTGTTCTCTATTGATAATTTTTTAATCAATATCTAGCTAAATTATTTAACTTTTTAGTTTCTCTTTCTAAATTAAAAATGAAAGTTTGCATCTGTCAATTATTATACGAGGGAAACAGAATGTTGTTATTTTGGTCAAAGTTTCGAACATCCTATGGAATATGTTAAAAATTGGAAAATCATTTTATCATCTAGGTGTATCTTTTCTTGATAATTAATTTTTTAGTTCATGTCAATAGCTTTATTTTTTTTGGAGATATTTGCTTTTAAAGAAGACACAACATTTTTTCGTAACTTTAACATTAAAACCGTGACTTTGCTTTTGGTCCCAGTCAACTATGAAATAGTGTTTATGATTTATGTAATGTCACTGTTATTGAAACATCATATTATTATTATTTGTTGGCTGTTGGGCAGTCACTCTAGCAGAGATGGTTTTAAGTCCAGAAGGTGTATCCGTTATAGTTGCTTTAATTGAAGATGATAGGGATTAAAATTATGTCGCAAATTTAGGTGTGTACGAAGTACAATGCAATCGCTTCTTCGAGACCAGTTCATATGCTAGACGTCCATCGAGACGATCGACTTATTGGAAGTTTCTCGCTTGAAGAAACTGCCGTTTGTCATATTTTCAAATTTATAATAAATTGCCCCTAAGCAGCGTACATTAACATTAAACGAAGAAAATCTTATCTCAAGAAGGCCTGCTTCGGAACCACAACTTACTAGGTCTGTTAATTAGGACCAAAAGCAAAGGCATGATTTTAATGTACAAAAGAATGCTAGTGTCTTCTTCTAAGCGAATATCTCCAACAAAAATAAAGTTGTTGGGATCCGCATCAATGGAGGTGCTTCTGGACCTTCCGCCTCTTCACTTAGTGATCCAGGCGAGGCGGAGGCAAGAATGAGACTCTATCGACAACAAAGTGTCTTGTCTCTGGGAAATGGGACACAAACAGGACACTCAAATATGAGAGATTCTATTGGGGGACCTCTACTCCAATTTAGATCGGACCAAATAACCCCTCTTTATCACTACCACAAACCATTCGAGGTGAACAAAATGGATCGAGGAATGTGGACATATATAACATTCCTTCAGGATGGACTAACCTGGTACACAGGCGGGTCAAAGACCGCTGAAGGAACAGGAGCTGGAGTATTTGGGGAAATACCAAGGGTAAGTTGATCCTTTTCCTTGGGTAAACACTCAACCGTATTCCAGACAGAAATCTTCGCCATTCTACAATGTGCGAGAGAAAACAATAGAAGGGCTCGTTCAGGTAAGCTCATCAATATATGCTCAGACAGTCAGGCGGCACTTGGGGCGCTTATGAGCCCAAAGGTATCGTCTAGACACGTCTGGGAATGCCTAGGTGAACTGGGAGCTCTGGCTGGAAGGAACAGAATTAAATTATTCTGGGTGCCGGGCCACAGCGGCATCCAAGGCAACGAAAAGGCCGATTAGCTAGCTAGGCAAGGATCATCGGCATCCTATCTTGGTCCAGAGCCAGTACTGGGAATACCCAAATGTATGGCCCGTGGTGCATTAAAACTCTGGATCAGGGAAAAGCAGAATGTCCACTGGAGAAACGGACAGGGGCTCAGACAAAGCAAGGCTTTTATCCAAGGGCCTAGCTCTAAAACCGCAAAAGAACTGCTAATGCTTAGCAGGAATAAAGTGCGGATTACAACAGGCCTCTTCACATGACACATGGCTGTCAAGTGTTACCTGAACAAGCTCAACCTGTATCAAGGAAGTCTTTGCTGCAGACTCTGCGATAAAGATCCTGAAACAGCGGAGCACATAATATGTCATTGCGAGGCTCTGGATCGCAAGTGACACTTTTTATTTGGGAAAACTAGGCTAGAACCGGAGGAACTATGCTCCCATCCTATCAAGGACCTGCATAAGTTAGTGCAGGGCACAGGGATAGGAGAATGGGTGCAGATATAGAAAGGGGACAAACACAATAGGCCTTACAGGTCGCAGTGTTTCCGGCAGAGGACGGCCCCTTGTGAAAAAAAGGGATGTACCTAGATGATGAAATTAATTTAAATTCTTGCTGTCTTAACATATTACAGGGCGTTTCAAACTTTCACCAAAATATGAACATTTTGTTTTCCCTCGTATAATTGACAGATGAGAACTTTCATTTTTAATTTAAAAATAGACCCTAAAAATCAAACAATTTAGCTCCAAATTGCTTAAAAAATCATCAAAATCGGCCTACTAGAACAAAATATATCAAACTTTAAAATACCTACATCGACATTTTAACGTGCCCGTTTTTCGTGCCGGTGAGTTTAGATATCAATCATTAAATAAACTTTAATGTAACGAAAACCAGAAAGCCTTCCGGATTTGCACCGTGTCATTTTGAGTTGAGTACTCAAGGTTTTGCGCACTTTATATTAGTACACTTTCGAGATATGTTCTTCCGTGTTTATTTTATACGCGGGTAATATTATTGTTGGTTGCCTCCGTATTTGTCCTGGATGAAGCTCACACTCACAATTTTGAACGATTTTGGATCTAGAACACAAACTGATGCTTTATGTGTTCTTTTTTCTCTCCATCTTCAAGTTATCCATCCCATAACTTGGTTTACACCGCACTAATTTTTGCCAATATTTGATAAACACGTGTATGCAGTTAAATAACCTGTAATAGAGAGCCAATCTGGATAATATGCCGATTATTTCTTTTTGACACCGGCACCGGTAAGATATTTTCTTATCTACAGGGGTAAATCCATAAACGCAAAAAATACAGGAGGTGCCTTTTATAAGGATTTTTCACAATAATATTTTTTACTGTTTTCCGGAAGATTCTTTCAAAAGTTATTTGCTTTATTTTATTATAGGGTGAACCAAAATCACACTACCATCGACTTTTTTAGAAAATAATTCACACTAAAGAGTTGAAATTTCGTATGTGGTTTTCACTTATCAAATCGCGTGTTTAGGAGGAATTAATAATTTGTTATTTTAATTCATAAAAAAGTTAGGCGATAAAATGTCTTTTTTATATTGTCAATCACGTCACAAAAATTTATACCTTTGTGACGTTTGAATAGTATATTGTTTTATTAGGAGTAAAAATGACACTTTTTGCGAGACGACGTCAGCGATGGCTATGAAATGAAGATCGGTTTCACTTTATATGTAAAATTACATGAGGAATGTCATCGATGTTCATTTCCAAGCCAACTGGACTCGTTTTTTTCGATCATATGGTAATATCATAGGCGAGGCACATAAAGTCATTTTTACTTCGAGTAGATTATACAGGGTGAGTCTTAAATAAGTGCAAATATTTTCAGGGCTGGTAGATCTCGATAAAAAAAACATATTTTCTTTTTACCATTTTTCAGATAAGTCCAAAATAACCGAGTTATTTAAGTTTGAAAATTTTTGGGATTTTTTCTGTATTTGCATTCTTTTTAATGCCGTAACCATAGAGTAAAGCCGTAACTATGGTAATATTAGAGATTAAGAAATTATACCGTGGGAAAATTTGCGGTGGACAGGCAGTTCTAAAAAGTTTTCAAAAAATATACAGGGAAATTTAAAAGAAAATGCACGATTTTCAACATCTTTTTTTTGCGAAAAAAACCTCATAGACGTATATCTGGGGTTGAAATATACCACCCCTTAAAATATTTGCACTTATTTAAGACTCACCCTGTATATAGTATTTTTTTTCAAACTCCACAAATAATTTTTCAAACAACTTCAAACGTTATATAAAAAGATTTAAAGTAATACCTTGTAAGTAATATTGTATATCGAGAAACTATGGTTACGCTCGTTGAATTGACACTTTATGTCAGTTTAATAACATATTTTCGTTATTTTATGCTTAGACGTAAAAGTGCTTCACTTTTATGTCTAGGCGTTAGATGGACTTTTCTTTAGGCGTTAGAGACTCTCAATCGCGTCAAAATTATTTATGATATGAAAAATGCGTAATTCACGACAGTTAAACAAGTTTTTTACGTACATTTAGGATAACTCTTACCTGTCTAGCTTGTAGTGATGGTGCATGTTGTGGAGCTTCTCCATTGCCAGGTTGTTCGGAGTTCTGAGTATTCACAGGTTGCGCTGAGGCGGTTTTCTTATGGTGGTGATGGTGTTTTTTCTTATTTTTTATGATTATTTTCCGTCTCAAGAGTGATGGTGGTGGTAATGGCGATCCTGGTGATATATACAGAATTAATAAAAATAATAACTAATAAATTTACTTAATAACAATAATCATTTCGATCATAGAAGTGTCGACGAGACATACGACGTTTTAAAAGTTTTTAGTTTAAGCTGTTTCTCCTTTTATTCTTATTGTTTAGTGAGTTGTAGTGTAGTGATAACTTTATATAAGCGAATTTAAGTTGTTTAAGAGCATTTTCAGGCTCCAGAAGAGAGCTGTTCGATATTCACTGGGACTAAAAAGCAGAACTCATTGCCAGGACTTTTTTAAAAAATTAAAAATATTAACTCTTCCTTATTTATATTTGAATCCGTTTGCCTAATACGTAAGCATGTATCAGCTTCTCAAGAAAGGCCATCTCACACTTATCCACTCAGGAACGCGGAGCAAGATCTTTATCTACCTACCCCATGCTCAGAGTTAGTTAAAAGTTCAATATTATACAACTCGAAAAAAATGCACAATCACCTGCCATTTGAAATTAAATCCATAACATAATTTTCTTCATTTCGCAAAGCATTTAAATCTCATTTACTAGATAAGACTTTCTACACCGTAAATGACATATTTTGATAATCGAATTTGATCTTGTAAACACTGGTCTAATGTTTGCTATTACTATATTTACTAATGACATCAAGGTAAATTTATCTAGAGGTTATTGATATTTAGTATAAACTTACTAAATATTTTTGAATCTTATTTTTATTTTTTTGTTCTTAGACATTGTAAACATTTATAAATGTTAATTTTAAACAATAAGACTGACCATGTTATTTGTATAATGTTTTGTATTCTCTTTTGTATGTTTGTTTGTTTATTTTGTTTGTTTGTGTACTTTGTTTACTTTGTTTGTTTACTTAGTTTGTTTACTTTACCTTTGTCTACAAGAAGTCTTTTGTAAGAAAGATGCTTTTTTTCTCAAAATATTAATAATTAAAAAGTTTTTCCTCTTGTAAAGATAATCCGGTGATATATACTGATTTTACCTGCTTCCAATTTATGGCTCTCCAGAGGCGCATCCAAAAGCATATCGCCGAATATCTCCCTGCAATAGTTCGCTATTTTTGCCTGCAACCTAGGGTTGCAGTGGTTCTCAAACGACAGTACCACGGGATAGTCGGATGTTTTAAAAGCGCTTTCAGCAATGGCCTCTAGTACTTCTTTGGCTGATATTTCAGGAACGAAAGTATAACCGTGAACGATGATTGGTTCGTCTGTCCTGCCTTTCCAAAAATCCAGTTCCACACACCTGGAATCAAAATATATGAAATTAAATTTTAAATAAGATTTATAAAAAAATAATAAAATATTCCCTCAAATACATAAAATGGAAAAAAGTGTCAAGTCTCGTAATGCATCAGTTCTTCAAGATGATTTTTTTTTCTAAAATCAAGTCAGAAGTCAGATATTTTAGTTAGTCCGAGTGAAAGTATCTATTCAACAACTTTGTTATAATTTATTATGTATGTAGTCAGTTACCTATCAACATTTCATAGTGACCACATAAATATTAGACATCTTTATTTCTACAGGGTGTCCCAGAAATAAGTGCAAGTATTTTAAGGGGTGGTAGATCTCGATAAAAGAAACATATTTTCTCTTTATCGTTTTTCAAATAAGTCCAAAATAACGGAGTTATTTTACTTTGAAATTTCCAAAAAAAATGATTTTTTGCTAAAATTTTGAGAACCACTGGATCTTTTCTGGATTTTCTTTTTTGTAAATTTAATTTACTACCTATATTTTGTTGTCATATTATCAAGAAATTATTTTTTTAACTAAAAACTAAAAAAAATTCCAAAATTTTTTTCCAAAAATTCCGAATTTAATTTTTTTTTGCGAAAAAAATCTCATAGGCGTGATTCTGGGGTTGAACTATACTACCATTTAAAATACTTGCACTTATTTCTGGGACACCTTGTATAATAATATAATAATTATAATATATTAGCAATTGCATGGCAACATATGCACGTATGTATGGTCGAAAAGAAAAACAGCATCCAGTTGGCTTCAAAAAAGTGGCTCACCCCTATAACTTTTTTATTTTTTTTTCCGATAAAAACCAAGGTTTGGTATATTAGTATATGACATAAATTAGGATTGATTGACGTATTCAATTGTTTTAACCAACGATATACAAGAACTGCAAAGCATTATAGATTCCGTAGTCCACTATAGTGAAATGTTTGGACTGCATCTCAATGTCTCCAAGACCAAACTATTGGTCTTTTCCAAAAGTCCAATAAATGCACACCTACGTATCAAGGGACAAACAATCTAACAAGTGACCTCAATAAAGTATTTAGGAGCTAACATCAATAGTCAGTGCGACCCGAAAAGAGAAATATTTTCAAGAATTGAGCAAGCGAGAAAAATCTTCGTGAGTATGAAATCATTTTTTACATGACGAGACCTCAGTGCGGAACTCAGAACTCGAATGGCCAGATGCTACGTCTTCTCTGTGTTACTCTATGGATGTGAGAGCTGGACACTGGATTCACAGACCGAAAAGAGAATAGAAGCCTTCGAAATGTATGTGTACAGACGGATGCTGCGAATCTTATGGGTACAAATGATCGCCAACGATGAAGTACTCCAGCGCATGCAGAAACAAAAAGAGATACTGAACACCATCAAGGAAAGAAAAATGCAATACCTGGGTTATGTGATGAGAGGTGGTAGATACGAAATACTTCGTCTCATATTAGTGCAGGGGAAAAGATCAGTAGGAAGATGCCAGAACTCATGGCTAAAACATTTAAGGAGATGGTTTGAACACTCGTCTGCGGAAATCTTCCGGGCTGCAGTTTCCAGAGCCACAATTGCCATTTGGATCGCCAACCTTCGGCAGGAGAAGGCGTGATAAGAAGAAGAAGAAGATCATAATTAGCTTATAAAACATTAAGCTTTTCATTTCTAATCATGATTTCTCTCGACGGATGAAAGTCAAAGACTACAATGACATTTTGCTAATTTTGAACACAAAACATCCCCCTTTAGAACTTTTTCTTTTCTAATAGCTACAAGTCCGAGTAAAACCGTGCGAACAAACATTAGAGGCGCCACCGGTCATGAAACGGTGTAAAAATTGCGAAAATTTAATAGTCCAAAGAAGTTAAAAGTATGTTAACTTTTTCTACTAATTGAAAAGTACTACAGCTTCATTCAAAACCTCCCAATTAGTGGAATAAATTAGTGGTTTCAATTACACTATATACTTTTTAGTTTACGATCATTCACAATGTCTAAAAAACACAATTAAAATTAATAAAATATCCTAGCAACAGCTTGCGTAGTAGTACGAGAGCTAGCAACGTTGGAAAAACAAGTATTTTAAGACGTCTGGATCCTTGATATATCTTTTATTATGCTCTCTGGAACAGCATCCGGTCCGTATGGCTGCCGATACCCGTTGCGTTCACTACTGCGCATCGGAAGAAGATCCTATATTTTTATTAGTCCTTTAAATTCTAGTATTGAATATAAATCGAACATGTCTCCATAGCGCAGTGCGTAGAGTTTCTGACCACGAACCGATGATTCAGAGTTCGAATCCGGGTCAGGGCAAATACTTTTTTATTTTATTTTCCTTTATATTCTAATAGTAAAGTATTAAATATTTGTTTTTTTTAATTACCAGAATTATTTTACACTTTACTATCAGAATATAAACGAAAATAAAATAAAACAGTTTTTGACCTGACCCGGATTCGAACTCTGAATTATCGGTTCGTGGTCGGAAACTCTACGCACTGCGCTCTGGAGACATGTTCGATTTATATTCAATACTAGAATTTATAGGACTAAATTAATAAAAAATATAGCATCTTTTTCCGATGCGCAGTAGTGAACGCAACGGGTATCGGCAGCCAGACGGGCCGCATGCTGTTCCAGAGAGCATAGTAAAAGATATATTAAAGAGCCAGACGTCTTAAAATACTTTCTCGAAAACGTTGCTAGCTCTTAGACTATAGTCTGCTGTATCTAAATAGAAAGCATAACATTTAGCTTATAAAACAATAAACTTTTGATTTCTAACCAAAATTTTTCTTGACGGATGATAATCAACGGCCAAAATGACATTCCTCGCAAATTTTGAAGTATAATTAGTGGAAAAGTCAAAAGTTTGTTAACTTTTCGACTAATTGAAAATTACTACCACTAATTATGACGTTCTGAATGCTTACATTAAAAATAGGTGAATATACTTCTACGCTAATTGCAACCACTAATTTATTCCACTAATTGCGAGGTTCTGAATGAAGCTTACCACTAATTTTGACGTTCTAAATGCTTACACTGATTTTAGAAGAACAAACATCTGCGCTAATTGAAACTAATAATTTATTCCACAACTTTGGGGTTCTCAATCAAGCTTAAATGTTCTGTTTAGATTTACTTAGAAATCATAAATTATTCCTTTATAATAATTATGGTTGCAATTATTCTTGATTAATGTACCACGGGATATTCACATTAGCGATTTCAACAAGGACTTTTCCAATAAAAAATGTAAACCAAACTATCCGTAAATTACATAATTAAGGATAATCTTATCGACCGAGTCAATTGTGTTGATTAAAAGAACGAGAGTTGTTTTTTAATGTGATAATTAAGGCAGTGAAAATCATGCCGTCTAATTTAACTAATCTAATCGTTTTAAAAGTGTCGCAGTTTAACTGGTCAATTAAGTCCAGAGGAAATGAATCATATTGAGAACGTCTCACATTTTAAATTTTTTTCGCCATTCCGTAGGCTTTTTTCTTTTTTGCATTAACTTTTTTAATAAACAATCGGTAATTTTATACAGGGTGTTTCAAAAAACATGTGCCATCTCTCGCGGGGAGATTCCTCACGTAAAAATAAGATTTATTTTTCATATCAACATAGGTCCGATTCTGCTTTGTTTCGTAGCTACAGGGTGTTAAAGTCTTTCGATTTATTATAATTTTATTCCGAGTACTTTTAGTGATTTGAATGAAATTTTGGAGGTAAAAGTTATTCATAAGAATACATTAATTCATCAACATCAACTAGTTTCTAAACAATAAGTGCACGAACACACTGACGACCAGGTCGCACCGGCCAGGCCGCTGCTACCTTTAAAACTATTAAATCAAATGATACAGCGCACACTAACGTCCTGGCCGTCCGTTGGTCGTTGCGACCAGTAGACTGCACTAAAATATTATAATTTTCTGCCGCTTGTTATCGGTTTTCTTCCAAATTAATAATTTTTCAGATGAAATCCCTCAAAATCAATGCACAATATTTTATTTTCTATAAGATATAGTGTTTTAGTGTAGTTTTTGCACACGTGCAGAAAATCCAAAGAAATAGTATACAGACTGGATCAAAGGGAAACTTAAATCTAGTCCCTTTTTTATCAAGGGTCGATTCTAGTAAAAATTCAAAATATTTTTATATGACATACTCTATTTATGGTTGATATGATACCTGTTATTATACCTTCGAGTTTCGATGTTAAAAAATAAAAAAAATCATATTTAAAGTTTTTCTACAACCACTTGTTTTTTATATTAAATTATTTTTTTTAGTTGTATTGTAGTCATGTACAAGGAGGACAACTGTATTTTAAATAATTTATTTAATTTAACGTTTTTCAGAGTTCATTAGACTATATTTCTACTAGGTACATTATTTAAAAAAAATTAAGAGTAAAAGTAACTTAAACATTCATAAAAATAGAAATATTTACTATTGTAGATTCTCAGTAACAATAAAAAAGAGGAATTTATATTGTAAACATTGAATTAACTGGAAGCTAAACTTTCTACCTGCTTATATTTAGAGCCAGTGTCTGGCGACTTTTTTTTTACGATGGCCCTAATATGTTTACTTCTAAAGTCGATAAGAGCCATCAGTAGAAGTCCTTGTCAGTAGAAAAAAGAAACAGAATATCTCCCTTTTTGTCGGTCGCGCGTACACAATGCTTTTTGTTCGGCCTATTTGTTCTGCTTGTTCGTGCGCGCTCGGTTCGTTCGGGCTAAAATGCCAAAGTCTGGACGCACCTTTAGGAACAATACCGTTTTTGTCCTTTATTGATATAATGCTGAAAATCTCACGAGTTACATGTCTCACTCTACACATATTAAATTACATAGACGTAGGATGTAGAATATTCTGTTATGAAACGACTGATAGAATAGCAGGCATCGCGGATTTGAAAAACATGGAAATAACGACGTTATCGTATAGTCAGGGTTGGAGATTTTACTTACTCCA